CCGTTCGTGCTCTGTCTCTCTCTGTCCCAAAAATAAATAAAAACGTTGAAAAAAAAAATTTTTTTTTAAAAAAATAAAAATAAAAAAAAAAGAAACAAATAAGAAATGCATTCTAAAATCAGGTCCAGTGTGTTTCCAACTCAACGATTATAACCAACTGCAAAAGTGTTTTCTGTAAAAGAACTTGTCTATCCCAGCATCACTCTGAAAAATACATGCATGTGCCTTCTACATGTCTTGATTTTTCTTGATGATGTGTGTCTATAACTTCTACATGGAAAGTCATTGAGTTTTGAGAACTGGTTTGGAATGTGAGACTGAAAGTCTCGTACACAGAGAAGTGTTAAAAGAAAAATTAAGGAAGTTGGAGAATTTTCAACTTGAAGATTCTGGTTTAAAAGGCAGGAAGGAAAAGGAACCACAGCAGAGTTGAAATCTCCCTGCGTTTTGAGTCCCGTCTGGGTTTTACACCAGCTCTACAGATGTTACTGTGGAAAAGTAACTCAACTCTGAACTTCAGTTTGCTCATCTCTAGGATTAGAGTGATAATCGACCACATCCATTTTAGAAGGGTTACGAAAGCAGTAGATACAACTGAGAGAATATGTATGGAAAGTTTAAAATCCAAAACATTAAAAGTAAGTTTCAGTGAAACCTCTGTGTTCATGTATTATAAAGGTTGTAATTTAGTAGTATCCTCTGACAACCATAATGTGGCAACTAGCTTTAACTCCACTGACTCCAGTGTTATTGTTTCTGAACATTTATTTGGAGGAAATAACCTAAAGGAAGGAAATACATATTATGGAGATGACTTTTGAAATATTATTTATAATACCAAATAATAGAAAAGATGGAAATACCTACCAGTATAAAAAAGCCTAGGAAAAATTTTATGCATATGTAATCTTAACAAAAAATTATATAACAATACCAGAAAATGTGTATGTGATTCTAAGTTAAAATATGTTATAAAATTGTTGGTATAGTACATGTGTGGGCAAAAAATAGACTATAGAATGTAGATTATCAAAACCAACTTTGGAGGGGCGCCTGGGTGGCTCAGTTGGTTATAAGCATCGAACTTGGGTTCAGGTCATGATCTCACAATTTGTGAGTTCGAGTCCCTCATTGCACTTTGCGCCGATAGTATGGAGCCCCTTTGGGATTCTCTCTCTCCCCCTCTGGCTCTGTCCCTCCCCCACTCTCAAGCTTTCTCTCTCTCAAAACAAACAAACAAACAAAAAACCCAACTGACTTTGGAGAGGATAGAATTGGAAATTTTTCCTTTTTTTTTTTTTTTTTTTTTTTTTTTTTTTTTTTTTTTTGCAGTTTAGTCAACGCTCATGTAATGTTACTGACATATAACATCAGTGTTGACTATATGTATATATGTGGATATTTACATGTGCAAAATGATAGAAACCAAACTACAAGGCAATTGCAATAGACATTATGACAAAATATATACGAATTAGTATGTCATTCGAGAAAAGAAAAATGAAACAAAAAGTAAAAATATTGATAAAAGTAATATATATCAATTTAAAAGGGTACAAATGGAAACTATTATGACATCGATAGTCAGAAATTCCATTAAAATACCCTTGAAACTGTAAAAATTGTGTTAAAATAATAAAGGAGTTTTAAAAATCTTGATTGTTTATCATGCTTAAAAATGCTGATAAAGCCATAAATACGTGTGACTGTATAAATCCAAAAGGAGAGATGCTGTTCCTTCCATGCTGACTCTAAGTCAAGACTTGCCTTCACTTTTCATTTTCTAGTCTGTTTCAATTCTTCTAAAACATTTATTCATCTTTCATAATTTTCTGAATATTTTTGCCAAATCATTTTTTTTTTCAACGTTTATTTATTTTTGGGACAGAAAGAGACAGAGCATGAACGGGGGAGGGGCAGAGAGAGAGGGAGACAAAGAATCGGAAACAGGCTCCAGGCTCTGAGCCATCAGCCCAGAGCCCGACGCGGGGCTCGAACTCACGGACCGCGAGATCGTGACCTGGCTGAAGTCGGACGCTTAACCGACTGCGCCACCCAGGCGCCCCGCCAAATCATATTTTTACAAAGAACCCATTCACACATAGCCTCCTCATCATATGAATAGTCACAAAAAGCAGAAGTAGGAATCTTCTGTAACTTTCTTGCCATGATATTTTTCTTTCCTTGGCCTTTAGCTTTGGAAAGGGCCCAAGTGAAAGACAAACAACTATAAATTCCTGTCTCAAATACAAAAATATTTTAAAGAGAAATTTGCAGGGCAATACTGCCTTTATACACAAGATGCACTTTACAGACTGATTATAAATTTTTAAAGTTTTATACAAAATCTTTCGAAAAGTCAATCTGTTTGATTACAGTTCAGCCATGCGCTTCAAGCCTCTGGGTAAATAAGGCAAACAAATAAACAAACAAACAAATGTAAATTAAGCAATACCCAGAAACCAAAAAAATATATATGTATTGTTTAAAAAAGCAAAATAACATTGCTAGGGAAAATAAAACTTGTATTCAGACTTTAACTTATTAGCTGATTTCTAAGACTATCATATATGAATTAGTTTATGTAAGAAAACCCCAATGGGAGGGGCATGGCTTGCTTCATGGGTACAAATTTAATATGTAAAGAATAAGTACGACGTGATATACAGAAGCATTGATGGAGGGGCCTTCTAAGATAAGGAAACTCAATTGGATATTAATATAAATATCAAAGGGAAAGAATATTTTTCAGGGGAAATGAAAGGCTTTGTTCTAATCAAAGACAGATTTGCTGGTGGCACTTTATATGTGTCGATGATTAAGTAAAACAATATAAAAATTTACTATCCCCTGGTTTTGTACTAAATTATTATGCAAATATAAATGAATTAAAAATGATGCATTACAGGCCATTACAAAAGACATCACAATAAAGAAATTCAATTTCGTAAGAAACTTAAAACTTGCTTTTTGTTTAAAAAGCATTTTTAAAAAACACACAGAGAAGTCCAGAGACTAATATGATAAACAAAATTAGATATACCAACTTGATTTTAGCACGTTTTCACTTAATATTACTTTTTAAAATCAATCCATGCTGATACATATAGATCTAGTTCTTTCATTTTAACTGCTTAATAGTATTTTATCTTGTGAAAATAGTTTGTTTACCCATTTTTTTATTGATGGGCATTTACCTTCCTGCTACTTTTTTTTTTTTTTTTTTTTTTTTTTTTTTTTTTTTTTTTTTTTTTTGCTATTATTAGTGTTGTTGAACTTAACCTTCCTGTGTGTCTCTGAGTGCACAGGTGGGGGAGATTCTCTATTGTATTCTAGAAGTAGAACATCCTCATTATAGCCTTATAGATAACTTAAAATTTTTTTTTAACATTTATTTATTATTGAGAGAGAAAGAGAGAGAGAGAGACAGAGCATGAGCATGAGAGGGACAGAGGAGGGGGAGACACAGAATCCGAAGCAGGCTCCAGGCTCCGAGCTGTTAGCACAGAGCCCAACATGGGGCTCGAACCCACAAACCGCGAGATCATGACCTGGGCCGAAGTCAGACGCTTAACTGACTGAGCCACCCAGGTGCCCCAAGATAACTTTTAAAGGCTTACTTCAGCAGACTTAACGAAAGAAACTATTGTATTCATTACTTATTCTGAGAAGAGTAGACTTTGGGGTAGTGTATAATATTATTCTGCCAATGAACTTGTTATTATTATTATTATTTTTTTTACTTAAGCAAAAGTTCTGCCAAAATATTAATTACTATCTAGCATGTCTTTCAGATGACATGGTTCTAGCTAGGTCTTTAAAACTCCTGACAAATGAGGATCTACTGGAACTTGGGTCCCCCAGACTGTAATCATTAGGTCCCATTTGTTGAGTGGCTATTATGTTTGAGGTAGGGTCATAGGCATTATGCCTGTCTTCTCTAAGTGTAATTCTCATATTTTTGCAAGATAGATACTGTCTTCATTGTAAAGAGGAGATAACTGAGGCTCCGGGGAGTGAAGCAGATTACTCAAAATCACAAATCTAATGTGCTGGAGCAGAGATTCCCACCCAGATCTGTCTCACCCCCAAAGCCGACGTCCTTCTCTGATGCCACCTGCTGCCTGTCATTAAAGATGATACTTCAGTGCCTTTCTTCCACCCTCTGTACTTCTATTCCATGTCCTGAAACCTTGTCTGGAGCATTTTCTTTGGACACAGGATAAAAACTCTCAATAGACTAAGCAACATTTTTAGAGTTTTTAGATTGCTTTGCAGGCTGTTTGTTAAAGGACAGTAGTCTAATTGTATGTACCCTTTCACATTCTAAAAGTTATAGTTATTTTTTATCTTTAATACTGAGCTGTTTTCAATGAATTGTTGGGTTATTATTGTGCTCATAGTTCAGTTAATATGAGAATATATTTATTTGTCTCAAGTTTTCTATTTAACTGATATTTTTAAAGGGTAAGCTAATGACTACAATAATCTAGTTCCAATTTTAGAGGCCAGATTTAGTATATACAATAAGTTTCCTAGAGCTTAATGCCTTTTTGCACACATTGTAAACTTAGATTATTTATTCTTCTAATAGCGAAAAACCTGATGTGTTATCCCAGGAGTTGGGGATGGAAGGGGAGAAATCAGCCTCTGAAGACCAGATGAGAATGAAATGGGAAAGCCTACATCAAGAATTTAGTACCAAGCAGAAACTACTACAGAATGTTCTGGAACAGGAACAAGAGCAAGTGGTATCCCAATGTTTTGCTTTTATATGTTAACCAATACAAAAGATGGATAGCTTATGCAAATAGAATATAACTGTGCAGTAATCTATGCATTATCAGTTCTAAAATGAGATGTAAGTTACTCATATTTTTCTTAACAAGCATATTTCACATTTCCCTAAATAATTATGTATTTATATGTGGAAATTTATTTGATTTCTAGATAGTGTTTTTCTGAAAGATGATTAATAGCTGATGACTCATTAGAATAAACCATTAAATTTTTAGTGCCCCCCTTTTTTTTCACTACCTTGAGAATTAGGGTTGCAAATCAAGGATACATACATCTAGGACAAGAGAAACTCAACACAATTGGTTATTTTCTGGAAGTAAATGGTCAAGTTATCTTATTTTCCATTGCTGTTCCCACTATTTAATAGTGTCAGAAGATCTTAATGAGAAGCATATTGGTACCTCAGTGGATCCAAGAGGAAGGAGAAGCCAGTGGTCAGCTAGAATGGTCACTGATCCACCTGTAGGCTTGTTCCCAAGATGGGTAGATACTGTGTAATGTTGGACTTGGTTTCACCATGCAAGGCACATCCAGTGGAATTGAATACAGCTACAGAAGGTTCCAGGTAGATAATAGCTATTAGTTCACTATAAGCAGAGCCAGAGAATAGTTCAGAGTCAGAGGAATCCACCCTGGAGAGAGCTAGTACATAAGGTGGGAACCCAGGCAGGCCTGCAATATTTACCACAGCTATGGCCCAGGATTTTGAAGCTAGAAGCTTAATCCTGGGTTCTGGGCCAGCAATGCTCATCTGGGCCATTCTTTGATGCCAGTATTATCACAATAAAGTCTAGGTCCTTTACTGTGGATCTGAGGAAGCTGTTGTTTACACTCCTCTGACTAGGACTAGCTTCAGGGCTGGGAGAGACTGAACCCAGAAGTCAAAGGGCGTCAGTAACTGCAGGCCATCTGGGGAAGGAAAGGCAGGGGCTGACAGAGCAGGCACGATAAAACAGGTACGGCTTGTCAGGATTACTGAGATACGGTAATATTCAGGATACGGCCTGAAGGTCACAGTGTGTCCCCTTATCTGTGGGGAACCATGTGTTAGTGTTCCATAGCCATTCCTGTCTACCTCATTTCATGAACCCTTATGGCATGCCACCCTTTCTTACTCCTCTACTCTGGCCAGGAGCCTTCTTTTTCACTGTCCACAGGAATAGTCACCAACACCAGCCCTGGGGAACATAAAGCATTCCATTTGTGGAGGTAGTTATCGCAGAATCATCTTCTCCCCTGACAAGTGGTGCCTTATACCTTTTGCATTGACCTCCTACCTGTTTAAATTAATCCTTCTTCACATCCTTGATCAAATATTTCTGACACTTACAGCCTGAATTCTTGATTCCTGACATAGCTTTCCTGGACTTGACCTTCATGTTAGAGTATTTCCCCATGCCTTTGACTATATGGGATAGTTACAGTCTTTCCTGACTATCCTAAGTCAGACAAATCTAAGGCATTTGTAGGCATATTCATGTTTCCTTACTATTTTCCATTCATTAAATGCCCAACCCCTGGAATCTACCTATTGTCCATCCAGCCTAAAGCATCTGTGTAATTCATCCAACATTGCAGACTTCCTGGGTGTCTCCTCCATTACCCACTCTTACCTCAGAGACCTACTTTTTCTGTCCATTCCTTGGTCACCCCAACATCTTCCATGTGAGCCTATTGGAAAGGCCCTGCCTGCTGCCACCAACATTCCTACATGATTCCTGGACAGTTAGAAGTTTACGTTCAGGTTCATATCTCATTGCCCTTTGGAATTGGAAAAGGAAAGCATTGAATGTACTTTATTTTATAGCATTTTTTGCATTTGAGTGCTTTCTTTCTATAATTACTGGTCATTTGTCCTAAGTGCCTCCTGGGTGGTTTTCTTCTCTTTGGTGTGAAGAGGAAAAAGGTGAGGAAGAAGCAGTTTGAGAGTTTCCAACAAGAAAGGGGATGATCATTTACCCCCAGTATATTACACCCGTATATTTGGTGTATTAAGTGTTATTACTAGCAATACTCCGGTGAGGTTGACCTTATCTCTACTTTGTGGATCTGTAAACTAAGGCTTGAAGAGATTAGATGATTTCTCAGGGTCTTGTGGCTGAAAAGAGGCAGAGCTGGGATTTGAATGCAGGTCTGTCCAACTCCGAGTCCCTCCCCCATTCCTAGGAACCTGTAACCCAACCAAGGAAATAGTTTATACATTTCTGAGAAATTAGGCAACCATGGTAGGCTCCATAAGCAGGAATTAAAAAGGAAGCCGAAGTAAAAAAAAAAAGTAGAAAGCCATTGTAGTAGGTGTGGAATTTAAGGTGATAGATTTTAAAGGGTTTGTGGTGGATGTTCTAGCTACAGCAGGAAATGAGTTGGGCATGTTTAGAGGATAATGAGTAACCAGCCTGAAAGGCAAGGTGAGAATGAGACATTCTATAAATTATTGGAGCGGGCTTTGTTTGGAAACATTATTCAAAAGTTTGAGTAGTAAGCGGTATCATGTCCTTGTCTGGGAGACACTGTGTGTGCCTGTAAGAGTTTAGGAGAGATGAAGTGAATAGGCATCAGCCTAGGTCTGGTATCTAGGAGGGGTGATTTCATCATGAGTAGTTTGAAACCAAGAAGACCAGTTGAGAGGAAGGCTATGAGATTTCAGGCATTTTTCCCACTAGTTTTGTTGTTGTTTGTGTGTGTGTGTGTTTGTTGTCCATCAGTAGAAATGTTACCATTAATTTGGTCACCATGTTTTAGTAGACATGGTATGTTGAAGAAGTCATATTTCTCTAGAAGAGATTTCTATAAGGACGGTTTTTCCAGCATCTGCTTCAATGTGCAATTCTAAATGACGAAACCTGAACATAGTACGTGGGCTCTTGAATAAGTGCCCCTGTTTACCTACAGCTCTACAGCAGGCCAAATCGGCTCCTGTCTGGCGTGCCACTGTACAAAGGGGATGGGCAGACCCAAGACAGATCTGCAGTGACGTCTTTACTGGATGGATTGAACCAGGCGTTTGAGGAGGTTTCGTCCCAGGTAGGGCTACACTGTTGGTCTGTTCATGCATCTTGGTCTCCGTGAGGTTGGCCCACCTTTGGGCATGAACGGCAGAGACCCTACACTAGTGATTAGCCCCGAAAGGCAGAGCCACTGCACCATGGCATCTCATCCTGGTATTTTTCTTTGATGCCTCAGACACTGTGATTCATTCCGTGTTCCCCTCTTTTTTCAGGGCGGGGGGACAAAGAGGCAGAACATTCACTTGGAACAGAAGTTATATGATGGGGTCTCAGCTACCTCTACATGGTTGGATGATGTGGAAGAACGCTTATTTGTTGCCACAGCACTTTTACCAGAAGAAACCGAAGCTTGCCTCTTCAACCAAGAGGTACGTTTGGCAGCTGGGGTCTGTGAGTATGTGATATTACAAAGCACTTGAAGTTTGGTATTGGATAAAGCAGTTCTGGTAAAGTACAAATCAGGCTTATTTCCAAGCAGCATAATGCAGAAGAGAACTGCCTAATGTAAAAAGCTCCCAGAGGTATTCATGAGTTGCATGTTTATTCTTTATCTTGTGTATGTAGCAGGAGGAAAATAATGGAGGACTCTTTGTAAAAAACTTGTTGTATATCACAGATTTTCTACATATGAAACACAGGCTAAAAAATAGTGTATGAGTTTCTAAATAGCCCTTTACAAATCTCATTTTTCACCAAAGCCATATTATTATTAGCTAATGATATAAAGTTTCTGAGAAAAATCTCTCCAGCAGCAACTTGCCTAATATTTATAGATGTGAAAGTGATTCATCTTGCCTTTGATAGAATTATTGCTGAATAGTAAGGGAGATGTATATAGTGGACTTTGTGTGAGGAAATGACTTGGTTTGTATATCAATTCTTGGATGTAAACATTGAAATATGCTTTCTCTTTTATCAACCCTAGACTCTTGCCAAAGATATTAAGGAAATGTCTGAAGAAATGGATAAGAACAAGAACTTGTTTTCCCAAGCATTTCCAGAGAATGGTGATAACCGAGATGTTATTGAAGACACTTTGGGTTGTCTTTTGGGCCGGTTATCCTTGTTAGACTCAGTAGTGAATCAGCGATGTCATCAGATGAAGGAAAGACTTCAGCAAATACTAAATTTCCAGGTAAGACATTATCAAGAGACACTTGACCATTCTCTAGCTATATTCGATAATAAGCAGGATGTCTTAATGAGGTATGGTATAAACCTTTTCTTTTCCCCCCGCAAATGTACCCTGAAGAGCAGGAACATTACAGAAAAACAAGGGAATAGAACCCTAGGATTAGAACACTAAGAGTTTTATGTTCCTAGAAATGGAGGGTTGAGAAGACCAGCCAATCAAACTAAGGGCTGAAAGGGACTTTATATTCAACCAATAAGTCATACGACTATAGTTATAGCTTCCAATTGATAATAGTGAAGTGTAAAAACATATGACCAAAGAAACATCAGGAAGTGCCACAGTACAGAACCCCAGACTCCAGTGCGTAGGAGCCATTGAAAGTGACCATGGCCTAGTTACTTCTACCTTTTGTTAAAAATGTACAGTGACTTCCCAATCCTAACTCTGGAGACTTCGTGCCTTTCAGCCCTAGACTAGAGTTCTGATGCCAGCTGAGTAATTGTCTGCTTATGAAACTTTTCCTTTGACTGTAAACTTCAGCAAATGCAAAAAGCCACTGATAAACTTTGAGTTGATTTTAATGCCTAATAAAAAGCATTCTTCAGGAATACTTAAGTTTTAATTGAGCTTTATTTTCAACAAACATACAAGATTTATAAAATAGATACATGTAATTAGGGCCAAGAGTTTGGTACAAATTTTGATTTGTAAAAAATTACTGTTAAAATGTCCAGAGTGGCATCAGACAAGAAACAGGGAGTTTTCTAGACATTCATCTAGAGGGACAAATTATCGTTGCTTTCCAGCAGTTTGTATTCTTAAAAACTACAAAGTAAAATTATCAGAAAAAAATTGTGTATTGTTTTGTTATTCACACAAAAAATTCACACATATTATTGTCTTCAATCTTTACAACATACCTATTAGCTAAGCATTGTTCTAATATTCATTTGCAAAGTTAGAAGAGAAAAATTAAGGATAGTCTCTAAAACCAACCATCTTGGCTTCAGATTCTGGCTTTGTTACCTACTGCTCTACATACCCTTAGCTGCCTTAGTGTCCTCAGCTATTAAGCCACACCCATAGTAATGGTCTCTTGGGATTTTGTGAGTATAAAGTTAGTTAAAATGTGTAAAATACTTTGAACAGTGTCTGAAACATAGTAAGCACTCAGTAGGTTTTGTTATTGTTGTTAATAGTAGCGTTCATTATAACACATGTAGAATCTGAAACCAATATAAAAGTTCACTTACTTCTCCAAGACTATTCAACCACCAAAGGAGCACCTGGGTGGCTCAGTCGGTTAAGCATCCGAGTTTGGCTCTTTCCATGATCTCATGGTTTGTGAGTTCAAGCCCCGCGTCAGGCTCTGTGCTGACAGCTCTGAGCCTAGAGCCTGCTTCAGATTCTGCATCTCCTTCTCTCTCTGCCCTTCCCCAACTCGCACTCTCTCTCTCTCTCTCTTTGTGTTTCTCTCAGAAGTAAATAAACATTAAAAAAATAAAAAAAAAATTAAAACTAGAGCCAAGAGTTGACTCAAAGAATATTTTTATGTTTTATATTGTTAGGGTGCCAACAGGGGATATGGAGAATAGTATTCCTATTCAAGATATATTTTGAAGGCAGAATCAATAAGGGTGCATTTGTGTGTGGTTTAGATATGGAGCATGTGAAAAAAGGGCACTGAGAGGCTCAGGTTGGCAGGTCTGGTGGATAGCAGTGCCATAGATCAATGGGCAAGGCTGCGTCACTGGCTGGACATAGATGGGCTATAGAATTAAGATACTCAGGTGAAGAATCACAGTACACATTGGGCTATCAAGTCTGTGGCCTAGAGGAATGGCCTGGACTAGATATGTGTGTAGGTTATGTTGGGTAGTACATAGAGAGGAAAGCATATTCCACTTGGAATCAGAAAAGTTGGGGTTGATTATTTGGGTATTTTGTTTTGGATGTGAGATCTGATTGCATGTTCAGGTATACTCCATCTGTCTAAAATCAGCAAAATTGTTGGGCAACTCATGGAATCTTGTTTCATTACTCTAAAATTCACCTTGCCCAAAATAATAGGCTGAGTTTCAACAGCATTCTGATCTATCAGCCATGAGCGAGGGGGTTTGGAAGTACAAATGTCTGTATCACTCGGAAGCATATTTCCCTTTTCAAATTACATTTGCTATGATAGTGTGTTTAGTACTTTAAAATTTTTATTGGTAATTATAGCCAGTCAGAGTAAAAAATGAACTAAGCATGAACACTCTGGAACTGATTTTCCGTAGAGAACCAAGAGGAGAACATGTAATCATGAAATTCTCTTTAAATCATGTTCTCTATTTTTCTCCTGCCAACAAGTTTCTACTTGTTGGTGGCCAGCTCATGAACACCAACTGACATTTCAAAATGTTTGTGTTCCAATTTAATGGAAAGAAATAGTTCCAGGGCTAGTGTAATTAAAGGTCAAGTCACAAACCATTGTGTTTTACTTTGCACCAAGCACCTGGTATATTGTCAGTGCTCAGAAGTTAATGGAATGATATGCCTTTGTTTTCCATTTAACTTTTGAGTATTAGCTTTTGCCAGAATGTGAACATTATCCTATACTCATGGACAATCTGGAAGTATGTGTTGATGTAATGTAAATGTATCTTATCTCCATGGAATCACAAGTCAGTTATCAACTGTTCTGTTAAAAAAAGTTTTTGCCTATAGACTTAACCCCAAATAAATTTAGTGGACATTTTTATAATTGAGTATTTAAGTTATTTAAAAACTGAGAAAATGAAAGAATTCTTTATTAAATGGGTGAGGCAGCACATAAAACTCGAAACCTTCTGTATACCTGTTTGTCAAAAAGCAAGAGTCCTGCCTCTTTATGTCCTACAAGCAATGCCAATGACTGTACAATAAAGCTTGTGATGTCTGATATGTGTGCAATGTAGACCTACCTTAACTGTCCTGCTGTGTTCCACGTGTAGTAACAAAAAATGGTTACAGTCTTTGGATTTTCATTTTTAAGAGAATGTCAGCATCCATATGGTTATTAATACCTCCTAAAGTCTTTTATTTAGTAATTTTTAAATCAGTCATATTATCTGCCTTACTGTTTTCTTGACTGGCTCCTGCCAGTAATTAGTGAGGCCTCCAGAAATGTGAACTCAGTTTTCCATTACCTTGAGTAGAATAAAATTAAGGCAGAAAATATGCTATTAAATGTGTAAACATGATGTACAGGAAGTATATCCACAATCTTCATTTCTTTTTTTTAAGTATTTATTTGGGTAATCTCCATACCCAATGTGGGGTTCGAACTCACGATTCTGAGATCAAGTCGCATGGTCTTCCAACTGAACCAGGAGGTGCCCCCACAATCTTCGTTTCTAACTCATGATATATTATTTACATTTATCTACTCATTTAGAAGAACTGCGTTAATGTTCTAAATATATGTAGCTAGTAAAGACTTTTTCTTTTGAATCTGTTCAAATGAATGGAAAACATCTTTTCCTAGGCATACAAACAGATAAATATGTCATCGTTCTAATGGCCCACATGGCCTCCCCCTGAGGACAGTTAAATAATACAAACAATGCTATAATTCATGAGCAGCAACCTTGTTTCTGGCATCATTTTTTGGGGGCTGTTATAACAGTCTCCTAGTGAATCCACAACTGGGTTTGCAGACTGGTTTGGGTTTTGGTGAGTGACAATTATTCCCTCTTAGGATCTAATGCTTTTCTCCAATGTTCGTGTTCAGTGTAATTTTTTTTTCTTTTTTTCTTTTTTAAAATTTTACTGCATAATTCACTCACTGTTTTGTTTTCTAGCCTTGAATTTTGTGTTAAAAGGCTGGCACACATCCCGAAAGATGTTTTTTCTTTCTTGGCGTGATTATCCTTCTCCTTGTAGATGGTCAGATTTTTGCATCTTGGTGATGTGTCCTCGTATATGTATCGTCAGCTCCCGGTGAAGGGGACGTGATGAGTCTGACCTCATCCTCTGCCAAACAGCCAGCCCATCATATATGTTTGCTGCCAATAAGAAACAGAAGCTTATTTGCTGACATTTCAGGGAGAAAAACTAGAAATTGTATCATTCCAAGTTTGTTCCAATTCATTATTCCCTGTAGAACTGAGCACCAAAATTGTGATCGTTATCTTTCTTTTCGTATAACTATAACACAACATAAATATATTTGGACTTTCAAGTGAGTAATCTTTATGAACAAAAGCCTTTGCTAAGGTCTTTTTGTGTTGTCTTTTCATATGTCTTTGGTCATCGTGGATAAGATTTATTTTCTACATTTCTGGGTGGCTTTTTATAAGCTTGTGCAAATTCTCTGAAAATAGGAGAAAAAAGGAAGTGAGAGAGTGAATGAGGGGAGAGGGGGAAAAAGGAATTATAGTATTCTTAAGAATCACATTTTTTCCCAAATAAGGGTAACACCTATAGGTGGTTTTAGGAAATAGAAGTCTTTAGTGGGATATTTCCACTACAGTGTTTAAATGTGCACCTTTATTTCAAACATGTCAAGAAGATTAGGGTGACTAGTATTGCCTTTTATTTGCATACCCAATTTCCATTTGTGTTATGTTGGAAACGGTAAATTCTTTAAAAGCCCATTTAACACTTTAAGATAAATTGTCACCAGTTTTTTTTCCTTCCCACAGGACAGTATTGTTTCTTTTGGGCATTAAATTCCTACACCTGTATGTTATTTCTAAGAATGCGTGTAATATTTACAACTGTTTCGGATTCCCTGTTAGACGTGTTAATTCTCCCTATTTACTTTCCTCTTTAGAATGATCTGAAGGTGCTGTGTACATCACTGGCCGACAGCAAATACATCATTCTGCAGAAACTGGCAAATGTGTTTGAACAGCCCGTGGCACAGCAAATTGAGGTACTTACACAGGAAGAGTGAATGCAGAGAGTAAATCTGATTTACTAAGACATTTCAAATATTCTGTGAAAGATTTATGGCTCATTACAGCATTTTTGTTGGTCATACATTTTGTCTTTAAGTGCTGGGTTTGAGTGACTGGCCAGGTTCCGTGGAATCTGTCCCTCGCTTCTGTATGGAACTAGGGAATAGGAGATGGCTAGAGGTGTCAGTGACAGATGCTGACCCGAAGAAGTTTGCCCCACCTAACACTGAGATTAGACATGAGCCTCAAAGACCTAGGACAGAAAGTCAAACTGTCCTGGGGCGATTCCAATGAAGCACTAATGGACATTCAGAAGAAGGGCCGATTGCCTCCAGCAGGGTAGGATCGGGGGAATTTTGTAAAGGAAAATTTGAACCAGACTGAGAAGTTTGGGCACACAGAGACTGGGAAGAAAGATGGCCAAGTAAAGACGACAGCAAGAACAAAGGCATAAATGTTAGACAATTCAGAGCACTTCTGGAGAAAAGCAAGGAGTCCTATTTAGCTGACTTTATGACGAATGAAAACAACGGAGGGGAAATAAGTTTGGATGAGTACATTTGTGGCAGCTTGTAGATTCTTTAGCATGTCAGAATATTTGGACTTTCTTCACTTTTCTCTGAACTTTATTGATTGCATATCTCATTAGTTAAAAAGATCAGCACACACCACAAGTATTTGTGTGTTTACTTATTTACGAGTTATAAGCAGGTACTGTGTTAGAAAGCATACACAAAAATGAAAATTCGAAAGAATATGGTTGAATATAAATGAAAGACATAGCGTTTCACCCTCACAAATCATATCATACACTTTTTTGGGTACTTGCGCTCACCCTGGAGACCACTGGCAGTGGAGAGTCACTGGGGATGTTTGAAGGTGAAAGTGAATGTCAAGGCCAGATCCTGCTCCTGGATGGTGGACAGGACATTGCCAGGTCAGGAAGCAAGATACACCTCAAGAGGCTTCACTGAGCTTTACTGATGAGAAGGAAGGAGAATTCTAACTAGTGTGATGTCACTGAAAACAAGGAGGAGAAAAGAAATGGAAAGGATGTTATATAGTATCTCCCATTTCATAAGCTAAATAATTTGAAAAGTGTGTGTTTTAATGGAATTTCTTAACCTAATTTCAGTAGACCTCTAAGGGTTCTATGAGTAGACTACAGAGAATTATCCGTGATACAGATCCCCTGAAATATTTCTCTAGATAGAAAGCTAGATCTATCTGTCCATCCATGGGAGACATCACCTAAAATAATTTGCAAAACTATATGTGAATGTCCATATTTCTCGATCATAATTTCATCTGTTTTTTTAAATCCCTCATTTTCCCCAAATTAAAAAGCATTCTTCTGTGTCCTATCTTCTACCTAAAAGGAACTTTTTATTTTTATTTTTTATTTTTTATTTTTTTTTTCAACATTTATTTATTTTTGGGACAGAGAGAGACAGAGCATGAACGGGGGAGGGGCAGAGAGAGAGGGAGACATTAGAATCGAACAGCTCCAGGCTCTGGAGCCATCAGCCCAGAGCCTGACGGGCTCGAACCACGACCGATCGTGACCTGGCTGGTCGACGAACTGACCACCCAGGTTTCTAAAGGAACTTTTTAAAATTTATACTTTTTAAAAATTTTTTGGCTTTTAACATACCTGATTCCAAAAAAAAAAAAAAAAAAAAGATTTCAGCAACTATAGTGATGGTTTTCCTTGAATTTCTTTTTTTTTTTTAATGTTTATTTTTGAGAAAAAGAGAGACAGAGCGCAAGCAGGGGAGGAGTAGAGAGAGAGAGAGAGACACAGAATCTGAAGCAGGTTCCAAGTTCTGAGCAGTCAGCACAGACCCCAACGTGGGGCTCAAACTCACAAACCGTGAGATCATGACCTGAGGCGAAGTCGGTCGCTCAACTGCCTGAGCCACCCAGGCGCCCCAATTTTCCTTGAATTTCTAATGTGAAATATAGGACATGTATGATCACAAGTAACATTTTTTACTAATTATTGACCAATATCACTAAAGTGAATTCCACAGATAAAAATAAATAACTATACCACTTTTTTGAATAAGGGGAAAGCTGAATAAGGGGGAAAGTGTGCTAATTCCATCCTACCCTCGGTTAAAAAGGTAATAATAGCAGGAGGCATGAGAGTGACACCTCTCGGTATATTCATCTTTTGAGCCATGTCATTCTGACCTTGAACAGACATGTCCCCATAAGCCTGACTTCCAGGGACCTCTCTTTACCATTATTGTGAGAATTTCCGTCACTTCTCCCTCTGTTGGATCTTTTCTTTTCTGAGTCTCAAGTCTGTCTTTATTGTATGGCTTCCTTGTTTTGTTAGTACATATCCTTACTAAGAAAGGATGCATACTGGGTACATTTTTTGATAGTTTGCATATCTGAAAATGTTATTATACTATGTTCACACTTTACTGATAGCTTGGCTCACTATAAAATTCTTGCTTGGAAATCAGTTTTCTATAGAGTTTTGAGGCTTTTGCCTCATTGTTTTCTAGCTTCTGGTGTAGGCTTGAGGAACCTAAAATTGTTCTGATTCCCAAAGATGTCACAGTGGCACTCCTGGGAAAGGGTCTGTTTTATCCACTGGGCTGGGCATTCCGTAGGCTGTTTTGATTTAACAGCTTTCCTCTTTCCGTCTGGAAAGTTGTCTAATGATTGATTTAATATTTTTTATTTCTCCATTTGATCTGTCTCCCTTTCTGAAACTCTTTTTATGCAGATGTTGGATATTCTGGTCCAGTCTTTTAATTTTTTTGTTGTTGTTGTTAAGAGATATTTTGCTCTATATTTTGGAAGACTTCCTAGATTTCAACTCTATACTTTTCTATGGGAGTTTTGTATTTCTGCTCTCATGTGTTTAATTTTCCCAGAGCTCATTTTGGTCTCTGAACAATCCTTTATTCTGTTCTTTTTCTAATAGATGCATTATCTTTTGTAGCCTCTCTGGATAGATTATGATTTTTTGGCTCAAGTTTTATTTTTCCTGTATGGTCTGTCTCCCTCCAGCCTGCTTTTATTTGTTTGTTTACTTTAGTCTCCATCTTTTGTGTTAGAGGCTTCTGAGATTATGGAAATCTTTGTTGTCTCTTCACATTTAGGATGGAGAACTAAACAGCTGACAGGGAACTTTGTGTATGGATGTGGCTTGACAGTTTTGAGAATTACTGAATTGTGTGGGCTATTTATCGGAAAATCCAGGCTGCAGTACTCTAGAAGATGCCAGGGCTCCCCATGTAGCTTTCTGTGGGCATTCAGTCATGTATCTCTCTGTTTTCCATCAAGTACTCAAATCTGCAACTGGTTCCCCCTCATTCCAGAGACTATCTGTTCCACCTTCTCTAGAAAATGAACTCCCTATCTTTCTCCGGGAAGGAAAGGGGCAGTGTGGATTGAGAAAGGGGCTCTGGGAACATAATTGCTCTTTAAGCAGCTTCTTTACCAGCCCTCTTTGTTTGGCTCCCCATCCTACCCACCCGGAGTTCTAGAGACTCCTGTTGCTGTAAGCCTGGTAATGTAGATCTCCTGTGAGTTTAGGATTCGTCTTTCTCAGATTTCTTGCTTTAAAAAAAAAAAATTAATGTTTATTTCCTTTTGAGAGAGAGAGATACAGAGTGTGAGCAGGGGGAGGGGCAGAGAGAGATAGATGAGAGGGAGGCACAGAATCAGAAGCTGGCTTCAGGCTCCAAGCTGTCAGCACAGAGCCCGACGCGGGGCTCGAACCCACGAACCATGAGGTCATGACCTGAGCCAAAGTCCGACACTTAACCGACTGAGCCACCCAGGCGCCCCACACTTTCTCAGATCTCTTAAGTCAATTATCATGTATCCTGAATTCCAGCTTTCAAAATTTTGCTGGTACTGTCTTCTTTCCTGTTTCTTTATCCTTGTAGATTTGGGTGGGTGGGGGGAGGCGGGTAAACAAAATATTTGCTGTTTGTAGAGGGGATTCAGGAAAGAGAAAGCAAGATGCATATGTTTCATCTGCCATCTGGAGTCCATGTTCTTTTCATCCTTCAGGGCAACTGACGTTGTGTTTCTTGCAAAAGTCTACTTAGCCTGCTCCAGGATCCAGTGCTGTCTCCCTTCTCCAAACTCCTCTAACAGGGATGAGTTACCGCGAGTTGAGTACCTGATTGGATTCACCCTTGTTTTGTTTTGCTCTGTTTACTCTGGCTTCCTAACCAGACTGTAAGCTCCTTGAAGGCCTGGGTGAGAGCGTGTTCCACTTCTACAGACCTCACACTGGGAAGAGAAGGCTTAGCACCAGGGGCCACTGTAATAGCTGTTGATTGCTTGCTTTTCCACTAAGCAGAGAGTAAGCTTTTCCTGACCACGCTGACATATTGTCCTCTTGCCTTGCTGACTCTCTCTCCAAGGATGCTTAAACTGCATTTCAGGAGACCAGAACCGGTTCCCCTAGAAAATCTTGGGCAAACACCTTTGCTAACCATGTCCTAAGGCATGCTTCTCTTTTAGGTGTTGCTGTTCACAAATTCCCTTATTTGTTTAAGAAAGCGATTGTTCTCCCAACCCTCCACACAAAGTCCCTCCTGCCTCCTTACCTGTAAGTCAGCTGACTGTGGTGTAACAAAGGGCCTCCTTCTCTTTTCTGTATACTAGATGGTCATGGTTTTATGCTGTATTGAAAGGAGTCTTTTTGTAAGCATTGAAAAAGTTTGATGTGAAGGCAAGAACAAATAGATATAATAATCACATTGTGCGTGGGGAGTTGTGGGAGTTCTAATGAAATTTCATAAATCTTACATAGGCAATACAACAGGCTGAAGATGGGCTAAAGGAGTTGGATGCAGAAATCATTGAATTAAAAAAGCGTGGTGACAAGTTGCAGATTGAGCAGCCTTCCATGCAGGAACTGTCCAAACTTCAGGTATGGTTTTCTACTAATAGCATTCAGCTTCGATGATACATCCTAACTGGATATCAAGAAAAAAATTATTTTGTTTATTTTCTTGGTTTCTCTCCATAAAATTCATGTCATTTCATTCCTAATCTTTGTCCTAAATATGGTGAAAGTTTCAGAAAATAGAAAATTTTCTGCAACTTTCACCGTATTTAATGCAATGAAATAAATTGTATTCTCATACTTCCAAGATTCTTTTTCTGATATTTGCTTTATTATTATTCCAATGGCTAAGCATTGTGGTATAGGGTAGTTGTGGCATATTATTTTCTACTCTAGAAAATATAAGAATTATAAATCCTACCTAGAAAAGTTAAAAGAGGGATATTTACCCTGTATTATAGTCTACCTGAGAAAACTGTTTTAAAAGCAAAAAATGCTCAAACTAAGACTTTTTAGAAAGTAATTTTTCTCAGGTGTTCAAAACTATAGTTAATCTTTCATACATGTTTGAATGGGAGAAAGACAGCGTTTCAATTCCAGAACAACAACAAAAAAATTAAACTAGAATGTAGTTGAGATCTCAGCAGAGTTCCCAGCTTCCTCCTGGAATAGGAAATGATTTGGGCTTAATTGGCTTTCTTAGATTAGGCAAAAATCCGACCCCCGGGGGTGGTCGGGAGAACCTGGGATATTAGACCGGCAAACTTGAGCATTTGATGGGCAACAGAGTTAAATTACATTAAGAAAAAGTGATACACACATGTTAACTTTTCTCCGCATGCTTGTTACAGAGCTGTTGGGGATTAATAGCATTAACTCCAGCACAGGGTCACAAGTTCTTCCTTTTTTGAAAATAAAATAGCTCTTATTTTAAAAAGAACATTTTTATTTTAACTGTCTTCATTCCATTATCTCACATTTCATAATGTCACTAGCCCACAGCCCCCACTTTGCACTTAGACGGTTTTCCAACAGTGCTTAAATGTCAGGTGTAAGAGTCAAACGTCATAGTTGTAAATAGGCATTAAAGTTGAACTTTTCCAGATTGAACCATTTTGGCCCGCGAAACTTTAATATGATACGTTAATCGGGTCCATATGGTTCCAATAAATTTTGTTTGGTGTATCATCATCTCCTAAAATGTCTTTCCAGTTTAAATAGTTATTTATTTACTCCACCACATTTGGCAAAAACATTGCCTTTTTAAGTCCTAAAGTCCTTCTGCTCACATTAACCTCCTCTGTTTCCCTAGCTCTTTATTTAGGGAATAGTCCAAAATCTGATTATTCTGTAGCAGACAAAATATGAAAGATGCTACAGTCAATGACTCTAACACTATGTAAATGTTAAGAACATTATAAAAAATTAGAATTACGTTTACATGTCCCTCAGCCACACAAACAACTTTTCAACATTTCAACCCCATGTCGTGCCATAAACTCTTGACATCCTGAGAAGAGAGCTGTCGAATCTACCTCCTTTTGAAGGAAGTTTTCGAAGAGGCTCATGAGAAAGGCAGGCAGAGCCTTTCATACAGAGCATCACCATCAATCAGATACCTGAAGGAGTATTTTTGGTTGGGTTGTGGTCTTGGGAGGGAGTATGCTTTTCAGAGAAGGGCCAGCACATGACCTGAGAGTATCACGGTCTCTGTTTCATAGGACATGTATGATGAACTGATGATGACCATTGGCTCCTGGCGGAGTAGTCTGAACCAGAATCTTGCCCTCAAGAGTCAGTACGAAAGGGCCATGCAAGATCTGGCTGACCTGCTGGAGACTGGACAGGAGAAGATGGCGGGTGACCAGAAAATCATTGTGTCTTCCAAGGAGGAAATTCAACAACTGCTTGACAAACATAAGGTAAAAAGGGACAGAGAGAGAGAGCGGGGGGGGGGGGGGGGGGGGGGTGAGCAGTAAAATAGTAAAACCTATTATTATCAATCTTTTATGAGTTCTTCCTTGCATAAATTACTCTTTAAAATTAAGCAACAAATGTATGTTCAAACCCATGGGCATTCAGTAGCCCAGGAAAATTATAGAGGGTAGGTTTCTATAATTTTGTGAGTTAAAAAGAATACCAACGTTCCTAGTAATTTTAATTATCACTTCCTCACTAGTATTAGCCAGGCTTTCTCCTATCATAAATTACAACCAGTGGGAAACTTGGGGACTTTCTTCGAAGTGCCCAGCTTCCTTCTTAATTCTGCTTTTGTCCTCTGTGTCTTTTATGCCCATTTATTCCTCTAGTCCTAGGTGTTTTCTCTGCCTTCTGTTGCCCTGGACAAAGGCTCCTCTCTGTGCCCTGGGAATGCAGAGCTGCCCACTCGGCTGTGGGATGGGGTTTCTGTCTCTTACATGTATCACTCAGTTCCTCTGGCCCTTAAGTACATGCTCCTCTGGTTGCTGTAGGCCTCCAGAGTTTATTCTTGGGGACAGTGAGTCCTCTTACTACATGATCAAACCTGGGGGGCCTGAGATTGCCATGTTCCATGGCCAAGCTCAGGTTAGACACTACTCCTTAATAAAGGAATGCCTGTTTAATGTGCACACAACAAATAACTCTTGCATTATTAAAATGATTACAGAAAGAAGAGTTTGCCAGTCTAGAAACCCAGACTCTCGGACTGTAGGAATGTCATATGCATGGAAACTTTGAAAATCCTGTTGGATTATAGATAGTTAACATTATGCTAGTTAACATGTAGCTCTTAACATGTGGTGTCTTATAAAGGTAAATTTTGGTGGGGAGGGGGAATTGCACTTCTTGCTATTTTTCCCAGGGAGTTTTGTCCAAAACTTTGTGATTTATTAAAGCCTTATCATTTGGCTTTGAAAACATTGCTTTAAAGTTCACAGCTGGTTTTCCTCAAATCTTTGACAACAGCAATAAAGTATCATGCTGAGTTATTCCAGAAAGGAAGCTAGGATCAATGAGCATAAATAACGGAGACGTAGGCTCAATAGGTAAAGAACTCTAGAAGGATTTGGTTGCATGGAACAGATAACTCTCCTGGCCATGGGAAGACCATCCAAGGCCATTAGCAGGAGATTGGGTTGTAAAAGGAATATCAGTTTTTGGTGCATGTTGGGCTAAATGACCTCCAAGTTCTCTTCCCACTTGAAGAGTCTATGATTTAATAGTTGTCAGTGAAAAATGAAGATACTGGCTTCTGTTGTCCAGACGTTTTCTGAGGGAGAGCTCTGTAGTGAACATGTTCTATATAGACTGGGTGGTTCAGGGTCCTCACCCACAAAATGGGAACTAAAACTACCTACCTCATAGAATTGTTACAGGGTTAACTGAGTTGGTCAGTAAAGCGTTGATAGAGTTTTAGCATATAGCACACACTAAATATTGTTACCAACTCCCAGCCCTTCAGCCCTAACCACAGTGGAGGGAACAGGAAATGGGATGAGCTCTGTCTCCCTCCTCTGGGGCCTGTTACACATAAAAAATTAACATTTAAAAATACATTTGTAGGACTGTGCAAGGCCTACCATTCTGTCGTGTGTAAGTATAATAAAAGGGAAATTTAAAACTGCGTAACAGCAATCCGTACACGTCAGGCTGTGCTTGGCAGTGAGTATTGGAGCACAACAAATGCTCTGGGAATTCGGAAGAGTAGAGTTCAAGCCCAACCATAAAGGAAGGAAAGTCATGAATGTGTCAAGTGAGGACATCTTGGGAAGTATGGCATATACACAGAGGCCAAAGAGGGGAGACTGGTTGCCAATGTGTCTGAGGGACAAGGGAGGCCAATTTGTGTGGTGGAGTTAATGAGAGTCTTCCAGATCGTATACAGGGATGAGGCATTTGGAGAGCAGAGGAGTTTTATCAACAGCTGGTCCCATCCGAAGGGCTCTGTTTGCAGGGACAGAGTATCTACAGCACATCACATGTCAGTGCACTTGAGGGGAGGGATGAGAGGCCAATTAAGAGACTGGAGTTCCCGTCTCTGCAGGAAGCCATGAGTGCCTACGTGAGGCAGGGTCTTGCAGAGGTGGGAAGATAATGCTCATATATTGCCTGAGTTCCATCAGCTTTTACATGTGAAGCAGCTTTTATTGTAAGGTGGTATATGAATGAGTCCCTGACCTCTTTCTACCTGAAAAATTGCAGGAATACTTTCAAGGCCTGGAATCTCATATGATCCTGACGGAGACACTCTTCAGAAAGATAATCAACTTTGCGGTCCTACAAGAAACGCAGTTCCACACAGAACTGATGACACAGGCTTCAGCTGTACTGAAACGGGCTCACAAGAGGGGGGTGGAGTTGGAGTACATTCTAGAGGTGAGACTCCTGATGTAACATCTTTCCTACAGCAGACTCAACTGCAAAGCATACCCTTAATGGAAGATGTATTTATTCGTGCAATTCACCTCAGAATTGGAATTCCCAATTCTCGGAGTCCCTCAGACTCAGCCTCGTGTTCTGTCTTGTTTCCCTTGTATTTCCTATTTATGTTTGGAAAAGGCTGTGCCATGCCGTGAGTGAGCTAGATTCATCGAATACTGACTTTGGACAGCATGTGACGGTATTTGGGGTTTTGACAGTGAGACTAAAGAGTGGCCGATCTTTGCTATCCATTATTAAAAAAGACTTCACATGATTTTTAAGAAGAATTTCCAGTTTCAAATAAAATAAAAATGAGAATTTAGGAGCGAGTGGTTTGGGATTTCTCCTTAGTAGAATGTCTATGCTATATATTTATATTTATTAAATGTTTGTGGTAGCTTTTTTTGTTTGTGAATGTAACATATTTACTTTGCTTTACTACATGAAGTAAACACACCCTGCCCTTTTGCTGAAATCATGCCCTCATCATTACTGTGGTAAAGAATGAAACCACGCATATCAGATGCCTGATATGTTCCAGATGCACTATGTACATTATCATTTCATCCTCACTATGGACAAGATAGTTGTTATTATCCCCATTTGTTTAATGTTATAAATTAAACATTTTTAATGTTATACATGTTATAAATTAAACTTCTCTGAGGTTCAGAGAAGTTTAGTAACTTGCCCACACTCATACTGCTGGTAGGTTATAGACACCCAAGCGTGTTTGCAATGCTTTTCAGGGTCGCCATCTGATTACTTGCTTCAAAGCCATCTTTTGCTTCCCAAAGCAAACCAAACACAAACATCTCCAACTAACTATGTATTTTTTATTTTTTAATTTGTTTTGAGTGAGAGAGAGAGAGAAAGAGAGAGCAGAAGAGGGGCAAAGAGAGAGGAAGAGAGAGAATCCCAAGCATCAGCTCAGAGCCTGACACAGGGCTTGAACTCGAACTCATGAACCATGAGATCATGACCTGAGCCAAAAATCAAGAGTGGGGTGCTTAACCGACTTGAGCCACTCAGGCGCCCTTCCAACATAACTTTGAAGTGAATCTGTTGAATGCGTACTTTGCACAAAAAGAAGATCGTGGTTCTTTAATGAGGTTTTTTTTAATGTTTATTTATTTTTGAGAGAGAGAGAGAGAGAGAGAGAGAGAGAGAGAATGAGTGGGGGAGGGGCAGAGAGAGAGGGAGACACAGAATCCGAAGCAGGCTCCAGGTTCTGAGCCGTCAGCACAGAGCCCGACGCGGGGCTCGAACTCACGGACCGCGAGATCATGACATGAACTGAAGTTGGACGCTCAACTGAATGAGCCACCTGGGTGCCCCATAATAAGAATTTTTTTAGCTTATAGACTGATACTGTGTTTCTAGACATGGTCTCATCTGGATGAAGACCACCAGGCGCTCAGCAAACAGCTGGAGGTGGTGGAAAGTAGCATCCCAAGTGTGGGATTGGTGGAGGAGAGCGAGGAGAGGCTCATCGACCGGATAACACTCTACCAGGTCAGCGTCCAATGGCATCTCAGTGTGAAAAGTTGCCACATTTCCTTTTGAAACTTCCCTGTGGTTTTAACTGAATCTAAACAAACTTGCAGTCAAATATTTTATTAAGTACTTTTACTTTTATTTCAAGCTATTAACATTGTTGAAAGCAGATAGATTTTAAGTATTTGTTTTATAATAGGAACATAAGATCTTTTTTCTTTTTTTTTTTTTTTCCTGTTTATTTACTTTTGATAGAGAGGCTGAGTGTGAGCAGGGGAGGGGCAGAGAGAGAGAGGGAGACAGAGAATTCGAAGCGGGCTCCAGGCTCTGAGCTGTCAGCACAGAGCCCGACGCGGGTGCTCGAACCCACGAACCGCGGGATCCTGACTTGAGCCGAAGTCGGCCATGTGACCAACTGAGCCATCCAGGCGCCCTCTTTTTTCTTTATTTAATGTGAGATCTCTTTTTGAAAATTCAACTGAGCATTTTCTGTGGTGCGTGTTGGTGTTACAGCTTGATAGTTTTAAATGTACCTGAAGTTACTACAGAAAAAAAAAAAAGAAAAAAGAAGGACATCTATACTTAAATATAGGTTAGCCATCTCAACATTTCTTGGGTGCAAACGGTTGAATTCTGACTAATAGGGAACAGAACATTACGAGCACCAGAGAAACTATAATTCTTGAAGAGAAAAAAAAATGCATCATCCAAAGTTTTAACCTGGTATTTTCAATCAATTTTAGCATTTGAAATCCAGCCTTCATGAATACCAGCCCAAATTATATCAGGTGTTAGATGATGGGAAACGACTGCTCATATCCATTAGCTGCTCAGATCTAGAAAGCCAACTCAATCAACTGGGAGAACAGTGGTTGGATAATACCAACAAAGTGTCGAAGGAACTTCACAGATTGGAAACAGTACTGAAACACTGGACCAGGTAATACAATGGCTGTTTCACATAATTTTAGATTAGCGCTGCGGGCTCTTTCTAACACTAGTGGGTACGGGCTTAAAGAAGATAAGGTCCCCCTAGGCACTTATCTTGTAATCCGGAAAATAAAGGCGAAAACAAAGGCTTCCCTCCCTTAGATTCTTGGACAATTGTATAAACACGCAAGTAGAAGTGGGCAGGGAAGCAGGTACCCAATGCCCCTTACCTTTGAGCTCTGATCCTCCCTTGCCTATTGGCTGTACGTGGGTGTTCACAGGAAAACCTTAGAAGGGAACATAGAATGAAAGTATGTTCGAGAAAGTAAGGGCAATGGGAAGTATTCAGGAGAAGTGGAGGGTTGGTTTTACATCATGAAGTACTCTATTTCTATGCCACCTTTACTTCTAAGAACTTTTAATAATAGTCATCTAATATTTTCTAAATATTCTCATTGTGAATGAGTAGGAGAAAGATACGTACTTTTTTTGCATTCAGCTTAGAAATGGGAAAGCTGAAGCCTGCTTAATGTTTAAATTTGAAGGGAATTTGAGAGTGTCCCATGCAGGGCATTATTCTCCCAGACCTGTTGTATCTCTTGTTTTAAAATTGGCCTTGCTGAATAACATGGGTTAGCAGAAAGGAGGTATCAGAGGTTTACTTGATAGATGCATTAATATAATTACAGATATCAAAGCGAATCTGCAGAACTTATTCACTGGTTACAGTCTGCAAAAGACAGGCTAGAATTTTGGACTCAACAATCTGTGACAGTCCCACAAGAACTGGAAATGGTCCGTGATCATCTAAATGCTTTCCTGGTAAGCCTAAGAATCTAAAACATTTGATTCAATTTTATATACTTAATAAGCCAAGCTCAAGAGAATTTGTCAATGTTAACTATGTGTGGTCAATAATTATGCAAAATACTAGGGTTCAACATTGCCTCATTAAAGTAATTTTCAAAGAATGGCTTCATTGTTGGCTTTCATTCAAGGCAACGGTATACTTTTTTTTTTTTTTTTTTTTTTTTTTTTGGTCCTCTGGAGTGCTAAGCATAACTCCTCTTGAAGACGTATAGAAAAATTGTTTATGTAGTAAATGGTTCTCTTTTCTTAAATTAAAGGTCTAACTATTTAATCCTGATTTGAACATTGCTGCTCCTTTTAGGAGTTTTCCAAAGAAGTGGATGCGAAATCTTCCCTGAAATCATCTGTTCTGAGCATCGGAAATCAGCTTCTTCGATTAAAGAAAGTGGACACGGCTTCCCTACGTTCAGAACTGTCACACATTGACAGCCAGTGGACTGATCTGCTGACAAATATTCCGACTGTACAGGAAAAGCTCCACCAGGTATAGACATAATCATAGGTTTAATTCATAACCATTGATTTAAGCAGTAGTCAATGGAAAGAGTGCTAATCTGCTTTTGCTTTCAAGTGGAGATCTGCTCTGTCATGGACAGTTTGCCTTTTCTCTCTTCCATTGTTCTGCACACTAAAGGTGAGCTGTTCTACAAAGCCATACCTACAAATGTCATTTCTTCCAAGGACAACTTCTTTAGTGTGTGTGTGTGTGTGTGTGTGTGTGTGTGTGTGTGTAGTTGTAGTAGAAACTTCATCTGGCCTTGTTTAAACTTTCTTTGTATAATGTGGGTTGCTCCACTTCCCTCATAAAGTGAATAGTTACAAGAATTCAATCACAATGTATTTTCAAGACTTATAATCTCGCCCATAATAGAACAACTGGCATTCAATAAATTTAAGTACTTCCCTTCTCTGGAAATATACCTCCCTTCCCTGGATCCCAGACAATGTATATTTACCTCTCTTTGATATTCATCACTCTACCAGGTATGATAGCTGTGTTTAATGTTTGGGTCTTATCCCTCCTAGTCAACAACTATATATTTCCATGAGGGGCAGGAAATATCTCGCAATCATCTCTATATCTTTCTGCACCACATAGAAGTTAATAAATATTGTAAATGATTGCCCTTGTTCCTCCAAATCATTGTAATAACTAACTGCAAAAACGTATGTTAGATTAAGTAAGATTCATAAATCTAACTATATTTTAGTTAAAGAGTAAGGAAATTGGCCATGCTCTTAGGAATAAATATTAGAGTGCCAAAAATCTAGAAAATGATAGTTTGTAATGTGGTATTTTTCTTTCTTCCTTTAACATTCCTGAGTCATAATACACAGAAATTTTTACAAGATAATTAATAAAATACATCTGTTGAATGTTTTGTAGTTAGGTTTTTTTTAACTCATAAAACTAGCTATAAAATAAGAATAATATTTCCTTCTTGCTGGTATTTTGATTAATTAGTTAGTGTTTATACAATGTTTATAGTATTGGATATCAAGTGAACATAAGATGCCTATTATTGTTCATTGTTTGCCTGATGTTTAATTTCAAGCTTGTACTAAGGTTAAGATCCAAAAATGTCATTAAGAAGTGTTATCTCTTTTGGCACGTCAATAAATATTAACGTAGGGTTTTGGGGTTGGCAGAAAGTTGGTTTGAATTTTAACCCTTGTGCCTTCGTTCTGTCTCTTACTCGGGCAGCTCCAGATGGATAAGCTGCCGTCCCGCCATGCCATTTCTGAACTGACGACTTGGATTTCTCTAATGGAAAATGTTATTCAAAAGGATGAAGAGAACATAAAAAATTCGATAGGTTACAAGGCAATTCATGAATACCTTCAGAAATACAAGGTAGTGGAATTTTTTTTTCTTTTAACTTTTCATATTTTAGGACTAGTTCATTCAAAAGAACTCAAAACTCCAATTATGCACATCAGATTTTGGAGTGGATGTTTCATACATAGTGACCAGATAAGGGTACAAGGGTAAAAAAAAACTGCCTCCCTAGTTGTAGACATAGGAAAGCTGTCCGGTGTTAGGAATAATTTTTAAAAATTTTTTTCAATGTTTATTTATTCTGAAAGAAAGAGAGAGAGAGAGAGAGAGAGGGCAAGCCAGCAGGGGGAGGGCAGAGAGAGAGGGAGACAGGATCCTAAGTAGGCTCCACTCTGTCAGTGCACAGCTCGATGCGGGGCTCGAACCCATGAATTGGCAAGATCATGACCTGAGCAGAAATCAAGAGTCGGTCAGTTAATCAACTGAGCCACCCAGGTGCCCCAGGAATAATTTTGAACTATTTAAAAAATAATAAAAATAAATGCTATAATTTATGAGTATGTTATAGTGAGGTTAGACAATTTATCCAATTCTACATACATTCTCTACCTAAAATGTATACATATATTTATATTCAATATATTAATAAATTCAAAATTTTATAAATTTTTATATATTCAAGTCAGTAATTTATACTTTTATAAATTCAGTATGTTCATATATTATATGTATATATTCAATTTCTGATAATAACGAGTTATAGAATTATAAGCAGATTGTGTCATTTGGACTAAATCACAGAAATGATAAGATTAAAGTTGTTTAAGGCTTTCCAATTCCTGATAAAATATAAGACATTTATGTGCATAACCTTGTTTCTTTATTTCCTCCCTTCACTTTTCAGGGCTTTAAGATAGATATTAACTGTAAACAGTTGACAGTTGATTTTGTGAATCAGTCCGTGCTACAAATCAGCAGTCAGGATGTGGAAAGTAAACGTAGTGACAAGACTGATTTTGCTGAGCAACTTGGAGCCATGAATAAAAGTTGGCAAATCCTGCAGGGGCTAGTGACTGAGAAGGTAAGCCACGTGGCTCTTGCTGTCCAACATGCCAAGACCAGGGACGGTCTGTAAAGAAAACTCATTTCACAAGCAGTATAGCTTCACACAGCACACAAACGTTTCTGAAGGGGACACCACTGAACCCCATTGCGCTAAATATTCTTTACTCTCGTTCATGATTTTCTCTTATTCGTCTTCTACTCTTCACCCATTGTACGTTGTTTTACTTTTTTAAAGGTGCCCCTTAACTTCTTTTGCCTTTCCAAGTTGACTTTACTTAATTACCAATACTAGTTAGTCACCGGCTTCTACTTTATAAGATTTGTTTTTTAATCCTCTATACAATAAGCTGTATCTTAAAAGCTCTTAATTTAGAGGGAGTAGTGGCTTGAGTAATTGGAGAAATGGTGGCTTGAGTGCCAGTGATTTGATTTTAAAATAAAATTGCAAACTTCATTTCATTATGTGTGTTCAGATCCAGCTGTTGGAAGGCTTATTGGAATCTTGGTCAGAATATGAAAATAATGTGCAAAGTCTGAAAACTTGGTATGAAACCCAGGAAAACAAACTAAAACAACAGCATCGAATTGGAGATCAGGCTTCAGTTCAAAGCTCAATGAAAGACTGTCAGGTACGTTGCCCGGGGGGCTGACATGGATTTGTCATAGTTTCATGGCAGGTGCCAAAGGAGTTTTCTGGCCCTGGGAGCTGAAAGTTAAATACTGAAAAAAGTTGTATTTGGTAATGAATTTCTCTGATTATGTGAGTTTATGAGGTTTTTTTTTTTTAACTATTATGTTTTTCACCTATTTAAAATAATTTGAAATTATGAGAATCTTGAGACACACTCTGAGGTAGACACAGTGCTACCAACTCCCACATGCTACTCATCAGATTTAATACTTAAACATTTTGACATATTTTCCTGAATTACTCCTTTTCTTAAATATTTTATAGTGAATCCCAGACATCATGTCATTTTATTCCTGCATGCTACAATACACGTCTCTAAGAAGTTGACATTTTCATATATAAACATAACATCCTTATCATCACAAAAACTTTGACAATAATCCCTTAATGCTATTCAATGCTCAGCTCATAACACTGTCTCTACAATTTTCTTTAAAACGTCTTTTTTTTCCAGTTAATTTATTCACATAGGGATACAACAATGTCCACATGCTACATTTGTTATTAGATCTCTTAAGCCTCCTCAGTATTTGTTAATAAAACTAACTTGTTGCAGAATCTGTAGACTGGTCCCATGTTCAGGATTAGCCTGTGGACTTTCTTTAAGATGTCCTCTGTATCCCCTGTATTTCCCATAAATGGACGTTAGCGCTAGAGGCTTGACTGAGTTCTGTTTTCAACTCTAAGGAGCAGAGTGCTCCTCAGACAACAGCGTTACTTTCTCCCACATCCTCTGGGAAGCTCCAGCAGCATCTGCTCATTCTACCCTTAATGGTGAGAGTCTCTCCTGCAAGTGGAGTGAACATGCTCTAAATGGTTTCCAGTGACTTAGGAACACTTAATATTTGCTCAGGTATTCTTGTTTATGCAAAAGAAATGTGAGTTATTGCAGGTAATGCTGTAATGAAATTTTGAAATAATTCAGTGATTTCTAATACACGGAGCAGCTGTGATGGTTCTCTGTAGTGTTTCCCAAGAACAGCCGAAGACTCAACTATAAAATAACTCTACAGGAACGCACCTTTCCCCAAATCTTGTTTTTATATTGTAGACTCCGAAAAGAAAGGCCTTTCATAACAATCTTCCTTCCAACTGGCAATTTTTTCTGGGGGCAGATGTAAAGAAAGATCTATTTAAACTCTCAGTCAAAGCTTTTCCATTTAGAAACGGAAGAGCAGATACCTTTGTGCTGGGCTGACGCGCTAATAGATTGTAATTTCCAGCGTGCATAAATACGGCAGAACCAACATATAGAGAAATACCCTGAAATTAAAAATATGCTTCTCATCAGAAGATGGGTGTATAAAAGACTGAAGACCAAAATTATGCCTCACCTAGCCTCATAGCATTTCCGGGTTTCCAGGGGCCAGTAGTGTTTCTAATTTCGGCCATCAATTTTTGTCTATCAAAATGCGCCAAAAAATCCAGAATTTCACAATTTTACTTTGAGGGATGAGAAGTCTGACCTCTTAAGCTCCTGAGTGTTTCCATTAAAATGAAAAGATAATTAGCAACATTAGTGCTTCTTTGTTCTGTCATTGTGATAAACTTTACTGTTAGAAGTGAAATAATGCGTTAACTTTTCCTTTTTAAAAAAATTCATCTTTAATTTTTATTTATTTTTCAGAAGGAAAGAGCATGAGTTGGGGAGGGGCAGAGGGAGAGGGAGACACAGAATCCAAAGCAGGCTTCAGGCTCTGAGCTATCAGCATAGAGCCTGACACAGGGCTTGAACTCATAAACCATGAGATCATGACTTGAACGAAAGTTGGGCACTTAGAGTGAGGCCACTATGCTCAGATTCCTCCTTTTTACTTCTTTCTCTCCTACTTTTTTTTTTGTTTTTTTTTTAACATTTATTTATTTTTCAGACAGAGACAGAGCATGAACAGGGGAGGGAGAGAGAGTAGGTAGACACAGAATGCACAAACAGTTTTGCCCTGTGCTCCACACAAAGCAGAGTCCTAGAAGCTCTTAACTCGGGAATGGCAAGATCATGACCTGAGCTGAAGTCAGATGCTTAACTGATTGAGCCACCCAGGCACCCCTTTAAAAAAAATTTTTTTTAATGTTTATTTATTTTTGAGAGAGACAGAGACAGAGCACAGGCGGAGGAGGAGCAGAGAGCTCCTCTTTCTTTTTCATCTCATTAATGTACTTTTTGCCTGCCATTTTCCATTTTGCTTTTTTTTCATGACCATACCTTTTATTTAACAGAGATGTTACTACCAGAAAACGAAGTGGAGGTTTGGCCAAGTTTTACTCCTTTTCGGACCCAAATTTGAGTCTCTCCCGGAAGGTCACACAAGGCAGTGTCAGGAGGGAAAGCTTGAAATGTGGTTTAAAGAACTTAACACCAATGCCAATTAGTGATTTCAAATTTAGTCATTTTTTTTTTTTTTGAAACAAAGAACAGAATGAAAGTAACCCACGCAGTTATTTTGGGGCATCACGTATAAATCACCACAGCTTAACAGCAGGTTCTATTTGGCAGTACCATAAACCTTGATAAAAATTTATTGTCATTTTTGAGAAATTGTTCCTCTGGACCAAAGTGTGATGTTCAAGCCAGCAGACTTAAATCGGTGACTGGATTCAACCTTTATTTTGTTTAGAACATCTTGAATACTTTCCCACTCTTTCAGAGGTGATTTATTCATTTAAACCAACATAAAAAATGATACTTATGAATTAACTCAAGTTAAGAATGATTTATTATAGCAAAAAAATGTTAGGTTTGGCTTCTTTCGTCAGTGATCAGAAACAGAATCATCTTTTAATTATTATTGAAAGGAAAGGAAAACACACTTTCATTTTGCACAAAATATATATTTCAGTCCTGTTTCCTTCCTGGCTTTTGCTTTTATGCCAACATAAATGTGCAGGGCATTTTAGGGATGTGTTTTGAAGCAATGGGTCGTTCATTTAATATTGCTCACTAAAAAAAGTTAACATCTATGGGTAAATAAGGATAAATTTATTTCCAATGGTTGGATTTTAGAATCCTATTAGAGACATTATGGTTAATCTTTTAAAGAAGTAGAGAGAGAAATCCTTAAATAGTGAAATTAATGGTGTTTTCTATACTGCATAGAGGACCTATAACCCTAGTAATCATTATATTCATTCTCTGGTTAATTATCAAAGCTGTCAAAATATTGACAGAATTATGAAGTGGAAATGAAAGAACAATATTAAAAACGAAAGTGATCTCTTCAGGCTACTAATTGCATGAATTTCTAATTACTACATCAAGAAAAAAATAGCTTCATGATAATTAAGGAGAGAAAAATAAATAAATTGGTACTGACTCATGGCTGATTACCAAATAGTTGACTATAATAATACTATCCTATGTGAGCCAAGTTTTTAATAGCTTTAAAAGATATTCCATATATTCATTATATATATTTCATATATATTATTTTAGAATTTTCTTCACTTTAACCTCCATGGCTACATACCTACATATCTAGTTCTTTTTTTTTCCAATGTTTATTAATTTTTGAGAGACAGAGACAGAGTGCAAGTGGGTGAGTGTCAAAGAGAGAGGGAGACACAGAATTCGAAGCAGGCTCCAGGCTCTGAGCTGTCAGCACAGAGCCCGTCGCGGGGCTGGAACTCGTAACCATGAGATCATGACCTGAGCCAAAGTCGGATGCTTAACTGACTGGGCCCAGAATTCCATTCTATTGCATGTCAGCCTAGGACTGTGTAACTTTTCCAACACCAGGATTTATGATTTTAAGAACATAAATCATGTTATTATTTTTCACATATATTTCTTTCCTTCTGACTCCTTAAAAAAACTTACCTGGTGCTATGTCTTTATCTAGTAGGTAATCAAATTTTGCTTTTTAAAAGTTATGCTAATTTATCTTGGAATAAAAGGACTATTTTAAAAATTTAATGTAGGAACAAGTAATGCTGTGTGAAAATGCTCTCCTGAAAATGACAAATTTTTTGTATCAATAAAAAATTGCGAGGATATGAGACTGTAATGGCTCAATTTCAGTGGACTGCAGAGTTCCGTAATAGAACAATTTAAAGTGACTGTTTTTAATCTCTCAGGATCTAGAAGATTTGATTAGAGCAAAAGAAAAAGAAGTAGAGAAAATTGAGCAGAATGGACTTGCTTTGATTCAGAACAAGAAAGAAGAAGTCTCTGGTGTTGTCATGAGCACGCTGCGGGAGCTCAACCAAACCTGGGCAAATTTAGACCACATGGTAATAACTGCTTGCAGAGACCTGACGTTAAGACCATGTTTTTCTTCTCATGTCCACATGTGTCATGGATTTTGGTTTTCCTGAAATAGCTGAGTAGTTACAGAATATCAACCTTATCTCTTTGTACTAAGTCTACTTTATTAATCTCCCTTAAAAAAAAAAAAGTCTAGCTTTGGATATTTCCTATAACAGACATTATCATGAACATTACTCTCTTAATAGTCTCATCCATTCCCATGTCCATAGATACCACCTAGGCACAGACAGTTATCAAATGTGTCTCCCCAGCCTGGATTTCTTTCCTAAACTCTAGACAGAGACAGAGAGAGAGATGCAACTTCTAGACATCTCTTCTTACAGGACCAGTAGACATCTCAAACTTGCATGCCAAAGCCAACTCCCAACTCTTGCCCCACAAACCTATGCTTTCTGCCATCTCAGTGATTGATGGCTCTGCCCGGTTGCTTAGACAGAAGACTGTGTGGTCATTCTTCACTCTTCTCTTTCTCTCATTCCCCATGTCTGGTCCCTCAGCAATTTTGTCAGCCTTCTTTTCAGAAGAGATCTAGAATCCAGCCTCTCCCCCATCTCTGTAGCCCTCACCTCGGTCTAAGTCAGCATCATTGCTGGCTTTGGTTATTTCCGTGGCCTCCATGCCAGAGAGGTCCTGTTAAATGGAAGCCAGATAACACTAGTCATCTGCTTAGAACCCCTCAATAGCTTCTTGCCTAGTTCAGAATGAGGCCAAAACTTGGCCCCATGACCTGGGCTCTCATAGTCCCTTTGACCTGTCCTCTGCTGTTGTCCCATAGGTTCCTATTGCTTTTGATCTCTCCTTACTCTTGAACTCCAATGGCCTGTTCCACACCCAGGGACTCTGCATTGACTATTCCCTCCATCTGGAACACCCTCTCCCAGTATCCTCATGGGCTACTCCCTCTCCTCAAATTTCTTGTTCAAGTTCATCATCTCAGTGAGGGCTTTCCTGTCTACTTTGTTTTAAATGACAGCTTCCACATCCCTATCTCACCCTCCCTGACTCTCTTCTCTGCTTTGCTTTTATCTATATTATTTATCAATTTCTAACTGAGGATACAGCCCACTTGTTTAAATTTCTCTCACTAAAATGTAAGCTCTATGAAGACATTTGATAAATACATGCCGAATGGAGTGCTGAATCCTCCAATAATAAATACATGTAACAACAGATACTGCTCTGCACACACCTGTGTGAGTAGTTACCATCCATACTTTGTAGAGATGCGGGCTAAGGCACAAGCAGGTTAGGTGACTGGGACCCTTGGAGCACAGCAAACAGCTCCTTACAGTCTATGTACTTGTCCAGGTGCAGCCTTCGAGTCTGTCCTTACCTTGTCTTTAACCCAGTTTTAAATCTATTTTATTTTATGCATTTTTATAAACAATTACAAATCTGGGAACTAATTTATCAATTAAGTGATTCTTTCACAGAAACATCTTTTCATGAAAAACCAACAAAAATGATACAAAAACTAAATAGACTGTTTAAAAATTCTGATTAATCTCCTGGCTTTGTTTTCATGTCCCCCCCTGACTTTCTGGGTGAAGTCCGCCCCCTCTCCAGTCCACGCCTCTGGGCTTTATACCATTTGTGAGGCAGCACTTTTGTAACCCTTTGGCCTATTCGATATTAGTTTGGTTGGTTTCAGCATTTTTCATTTATGCTAAGAACAAAATCGGAGAAAGCAGGGACAAATTAATTTATATGATCTCTTTTCTTAATTATGGCCATACTTACTCCTTATTCAAAAGATTACATTTAGAGGATTAAGGGTGACATCCAGGAAGTCCAAAGTAGATATCTTTATAAATGATACAGATCAAACTAAGAACTTACATTTTCTATTGCAGATAAGTCTAGGGAAAGAATGTTCTTAGATGTTTTGTCTTAAGATAGGAATTTGAGAGTTTGTGTGCGTGTGTGTGTGTGTGTGAGAGAGAGAGAGAGAGAGAGAGAGAGAAGAGAGCATGCATACGTGTGATGGAAGGAAGGAAGGAAAGAAGGAAGGAAGGAAGGAGGGAGGGAGGAAGGGAAGGAAGGAAGGAAGGAAGGAAGGAAGGAAGGAAGGAAGGAAGGAAGGAAGGAAGGAGATATATAGATATTTTTTATTTCATTTCTTGGGACCAGACTGAGTAGATTCAAATCTAGAACTCTCATATTCTGATAGTAGGATCTCAGGTGATTTTCATAACCTGAGGTGTCTCAGGTTTTTTATCTATAAGATGGAGATAATAATTACAGCCACCACATAAGGTTATTATAAGGATTGAATGAGTTCATGCATTTAAAACACTCATTTAATATATTTCCTAAACTGTGGTATTAAATATATTGACCTTTTATCACTTTTATATAATATAGATATATAGAATGTATATTATGTATATTACATACAAAGGTCCTATATTACCTTTTTAAGCATTTAAATTTGGACTGAGTAGTCAAAAGTATGAAAGACATAAATTTCAATATTGCTACATATTTTCAAATCTTTTTTTTCTAGTTTATTTATAATGCCTGAAACCCTGATGAAGTTCTTAGATACTAATGTTGCTTCCATCAATTCAATATATATTCTATCATTTTTTTTTGTTGTTGTTTATTTATTTTTGAGAGAGAGACATACAGAGCACAAGCTAGTAGGGGCAGAGAGAGAGGGAGACCCAGAATCCAAAGCAGGCTCCAGGCTCCGAGCTGTCAGCACAGAGCCCGACGCGGGGCTCGAACTCGCAGACTGTGAGATCGTGACCTGAGCTGAAGTCAGACACTTCACCGACTGAGCCACCCAGGCGCCCCTCCATCATTTTGGATATTATGCAATTATAAGAAGTTTCTGTCTCTTTCAATAGGTTGGGCAGTTCAAGATACTGTTGAAGTCCGTGTTTGACCAATGGAACAATCACAAGGAGGCCTTTGATGAGATAAACAGTTACCTCATGGAGGCCAGATATTCTCTTTCCCGCTTCCGCCTGCTAACTGGTTCTTTAGAAGCTGTACAAGTTCAGGTAGACAATCTTCAGGTAAGGAATGAATTTAACCCATCTTTAATATTCTCTTTAGTTTGCTAAAATTAAAAAAAGCACATATGAACATCATCCTGGGATATTGCTATATATTGTTTACTTTTAATTATTTTTAAGTATTTAAAATTATCTTTTTTTTTTTTTTTTTAATTTTTTTTTCAACGTTTATTTATTTTTGGGACAGAGAGAGACAGAGCATGAACGGGGGAGGGGCAGAGAGAGAGGGAGCCACAGAATCAGAAACAGGCTCCAGGCTCTGAGCCATCAGCCCAGAGTCTGACGCGGGGCTCAAACTCACGGACCGCGAGATCGTGACCTGGCTGAAGTCGGACGCTTAACCGACTGCGCCACCCAGGCGCCCCAGTATTTAAAATTATCTTAACCCACTTTATTTTCAACTTAATTAAACTTGCCTGTGGATAACGCATTTCTGGATTAGTTGGTATATAACCAAATGATTTAAAAAATTCTATTACATAAATATCCATGTGAGTATATTTTATAGAATGATTTTACCTTCAAGCCAGCCTCCCTGACCCATTGTCGCTACCTTGTGTCTTCCCTTTCTCTCTTTATCCTGCTTCTCCCAACATATTCTAAGGGATTAAAACGAAAACAAAGAGAAAGATAGCAAAGTGGTAAATTTGTAAACTATTAAGTTGTTTTCCTTTTGTTCAGCCTAGTATCACTGGTCTGTCTGATGTGTACACGTAAGCCTCTTTTTCTAGCACTTACTGCTTGGTTTCCTGTGTGCCTGTCATCACTGTACTCCTATAGAATGACATCGCTGCTGTTTGACCCTACAGAGCACTCTGTCTTACCTCAGGCCACTGCCTTCAAATCAGCTATCACTCTTACTCCCCTGTGCACTGGGCATTGACCGGGCACTGTCACCTGTGGCCGCTCTTTCTCCCTGGCTAACTCCTGCAGACTACGGGATGGGCAGGACAGGCCCTCCGGGGAGGGGATGCCAGCAGGAGCCCAGCATGTACCCTCTTTACATTAGTTCGTTTCCCTGCTTGGCAATGAAAGTTCATATGCTGCCGACCTCAAACGCCACCTCTCTGAAGGGAATGCTTTTTCTTGTGGATGGGATAAGAGGGAGGGAGGATAAAACATACATATATAATTTCTTTAAACCTTAAATAGTTGTTGCAGATACTGAGAATCATTAAAACGTGCTTTGAGAATAGTAAGTTTGAAAACATATTTTCTAGCTTTGTGGCAATTAGAAGTACTTTTTAGGGGCACCTGGGTGGCTCAGTCGGTTAGGCGGCCGACTTCGGCTCAGGTCAAGATCTCGCGGTCCGTGAGTTCGAGCCCCGCGTCGGGCTCTGTGCTGACTGCTCAGAGCCTGGAGCCTGTTTCAGATTCTGTGTCTCCCTCTCTCTGACCCTCCCCCGTTCATGCTCTGTCTCTCTCTGTCTCAAAAATAAATAAACGTTAAAAAAAATTTTTTTTTTTTAAAAAGAAGTACTTTTTAGTGTAGCCTGTTCTATGTCTAACACCTGCATATGCTGTCTTAAGATACAAAAGGGTTTTGATTTGATGGCGATCAGATATTGGTGTTAAACAGAACTCGGTTTTTGTAGCCTACTTCACCTAGAGAGTTTTACTAAGAACTGAGTCTGTCACCTCAGCAGTATTTCCGGGGAAACGTCTTCCTTCAAGATGCTTCACTGGTCCTTGGTAGAAGACTGTGCCAAGTCTATAATCTGCCTAGTAAATATTCCTTGCAAGGAAGAACACCCAGATATAGTACTTATAAATGGTACCCAGAAACATCATGACTTCTTAAGGTCTAGTTATTGGGATTTTCTGGTAGAACACCTGTAGGTATGTAATACAAAGGAGACGTGGGTTTTGACTTTGAACAGCAAAGAGAACCAGTGTGTCAGATGGCATGGCTTCCTACCAGTTGACGGACAGGGACACTCATGCGAGCTTTTCCAGCAGAATTCCAGATGCCACTGTAAGAAGGTTTAGTTGCTAGGAATCCCATCTTACACCCATAAGAGCAAAATCATTAAAAGAAGAAATGATTATCTAATGAAAACTTATAAAGCATTGGAACAAAGTCATGGTTTATGTATGTTTATGTACACATTTATGAAAACAACTCTAAATTACTTTTAAACTCGATTATTAGAATTTGCATCCTGTCACGTCATCTGTGGCACTTTTTTTTCCCCCCCCTTGGGAAGAATCTTCAAGATGATCTGGAAAAACAGGAAAAGAACTTACAGAATTTTGGTTCCATCACCAACCAACTGTTAAAAGAATGTCACCCACCTGTGACAGAAACTCTTACCACCACATTAAAAGATGTCAATATGAGGTATGGAACATGCTAATTTTACACTGTTATGCATTATTTTACATTACAGCCTTATTATAAATAATGATACAGCTAAAACTTGCTGGCATTTTGAAATTGAGCTTTAAAGACTCTATTCATGTTTTGATTTTCACAAATGAATTTAAGGTAAGAAAATGCATTGAAGAGGCTTAGAAAGAAATGAGAGCTGCTACATATCCCAAGATTGACCTCATTCCTACTATCTACCCCTGAAATATGAGTGAGCCATATTACATGATAAAATTATGTCAGATTGAGACGAGACATCCCTGCATTATTTCCATATTCACGTGAAGCAGGGTCATGAAAAATAATATAGTAAATAACGGCATTTGTTGAGAGGTGTTAATCTGCCCATGAGTGTTGGCTGTTGTTTCCAGATGGAATAACTTGCTGGAAGAGATTGCTAAGCAGCTGTGCTCCAGCAAGGCACTCCTTCAACTTTGGCAAAGATACAAGGACTACTCCAAACAGTGTGCTTCTACGGTTCAGCAGCAGGAGGATGGGGCCAGTGAGCTCCTGAAGGCAGCCACTAACAAGGACATTGCCGATGACGAAGCTGCAACGTGGATTCAGGATTGCAACGTATGTTTAGGAACGCTGGCGCTTTCCCACCACGCGGGTCTTAGACATCTCGAGTTTAGCAGGGCTCGGGCTGATTGTGGGTAAGCTTCTGGTACATCTCAGTATGTGGGACAGCTCTCCAAAAATTGTTTGTAAGTATCAGTGAGGCTCCTGGGTTTTCAGAACACAGTTGCACGTGTATCAGATTTAAGAGGCCCCTCCCACTGTTTCGTGTTTAGAGAGGAGTTGTTTTCCCATTTTTTCCTAATGGCATCCCATCCATGTGAAGATTTGGGCTGTTTTTACAGATTTGATCAATTTGAGAAATGACCACATGGAGAATAATGTTGTATCTTTTAAAAATCTGTGAAAAGTATTATCTATATCTTATGTAAGCATTAACATCATTATTTCTTCTAAGAATTTAATAGTAGAAAGAAGTCTTTCTCTCCTGACTTACTGGAATACTTCTTTTTAATAAAATATTCCTCTTTTTTACTGAAGTTGCCAATAACCTACTTTAGGTTTTCAGGAACAGTTCTCTTGTTTCACTCATTCCATGCTTCTGACTCTTCGTCCTTATTTGTCTTTATTTTAATGAACTTGTTTCAAAGACCTTGTAAACTTTCCCAAATCGATGTATTAGAATTAGGCAAGTTGTAAAAAGCACATAAATAAAATTTCAACCTATCCTAATACCTTCACATAAATACTGAATAAATTACCTTAGAGCCAAAGTTTAATATTTACAGTAAAGGTAATGTAATGCTTTTCTCCCTGACTTCCACATTTTATCTTTATAAGATTCGTGATTTTTTTAAAAAGTTTTTTAATGTTTATTTTTGAGAGAGAGAGACAGAGACAGCACAAGCAGGGGAGGGGCACAGAGAGAGAGAAGGAGATACAGAATCGGAAGCAGGCTCCAGGCTCTGAGCTGTCAGCACAGAGCCCGATGCGGGGCTTGAACTCACAAGCCTTCGAGCCATGAGATCAAGACCTGAGCCGAAGCCAGCTGCTTAACTGACTGAGCCACTCAGGTGCCCCAAAATATGTCATTTTAAAGTTTCAGTCCTCCTGAGTTGATATACACATACCTGTTTTAGAGGGCAACGCTCCAAATTATTTCTCTGAATTTGTTAAAAATCTATGTCAAAATCAGAGGTGCCCCCCCCCTTTTTTTCCCTCCCTTTCACAAGAGTCAATGTATAGGCATAGCAAGCTTTGCTCTTTCCACTGTGTCTGGTGGGTCAAGAACCAGTCATTTGTCCCAGTAATTCACTTTTGCTTTTAATTCCCTTGCCTTCGGGGATGTGTCGAGGAAGAGATTGCTACGGCTGAGGTCAGAGAGGTCTTTTCCTGCTTTCTCCTCTAAGGTTTTGATGGTTGTATGGAAACCAATTTGACAATAAATTTCATATATAAATAAAAAAAAAAAAAAAAAAAAAAAAAAAAAAGAACCAGTCATTTGTCATCTCTTAGTGGTAGAAGGAAACTAGAAACAGGGAATTTCCATTGGCTTAAATTTTGAGCATATGAGTGTCCCACAAAGAAATGGAGGCAAGAGAAACTATGGCAAAGAATGAAGATACAGTCTTCTTTTTATACTGCTTGACTCTGCTCACCAGAGCCATTGCTGGGGTTCTATGCCCCACTAAAACAGGAGGGCCCATTGTAACCACTATAATGTGACCACGCACACAGAAGATGCTGTTGACAAACTCATCCCTTGTGTGTATAATATTAATTAGAAAAAGGCGAAATGTAGCACTGTGGGTTTTTTTTAACTTTCTTTTTTTAATTTTTTTAACATGAAATTTATTGTCAAATTGGTTTCCACACAACACAAACTCATCCCTTGTGTGTATAATATTAAGTAGAAAAAGGCAAAATGTAGCACTGTGTTTTTTTAACTTTATTTTTTAATTATTTTTTTAATATGAAATTTATTGTCAAATTGGTTTCCACACAACACCCAGTGTAGCACTGTGTTTTTGATTTGATACCAGCTACAGGAAAAGATAGGAAGAACTGCCCAAATGTTTCATTATTGGCTCTACTTGTAGTCGTGTTTCTTCTTGTTTATGTATGTTTCTCTGCAGTTCCCCCGATGTCCTACAATGAACCCGTGTGATTTTTATTATAAGAATAGCACATTTATCTCTAAAAATGTTAGCACCCATCTGGTTTTAAACATCAGGTTTAATGCTTGATCATTTTTCTGCAGGTGAAGGTGATTTAGTGTAATAAATCAACAAAGTAAGAACTGAGTGCTTCTAGACGTGTGGACCTTTGCTGATTATCAGTTTAAGGAGTACCCTTAGCATGTTGTTGCATAATGGCATATTTTCATCATCTATAGGATCTCCTCAAAGGCTTGGGGACAGTGAAGGATTCCCTTTTTGTTCTCCGTGAGCTGGGAGAGCAGCTCAAGCAACAAGTGGATGCTTCAGCAGCATCAACTATTCAATCCGATCAGCTGTCCTTGAGTCAACGCTTATGTGCCCTAGAACAGGCTCTCTGCAAGCAGCAGACCATGTTACAGGTGTGTTATAAATCGGGCGTTCTATAACATCTGAGCCTCAACACAGGAAAAGAAAATTTTTCCATCGTTGAGACCTTGCCTCTTTCAAGAGCAAAGAATTAAAAAGTAGACAAACTTGGAAGTTCCAGTGGGGACAAGGGAAGGTGGGAGTCTTTCACTGTCCTTTCCAATGTAATTTTGCCCCTGAACCAATGCCTCCTTCTAGAACACTGAGTAAAATGTGTTCAACTAATAAACACTAAGTGGCTTTAATATTGACATTCATGTTTATATAGCAAGTTTTTGCCAAGAATCAGAATATATTTCTATATTTCTGTTTGGAAGTATATTTTACAAATAACTTTAGTTTATTAATAAATGGTACATAGGAATAATTCTGTTTTCAAAAAATTACAGTAATAAAGAGAAGAAAGCTTAAATCATATAGCCTTGTTTCTTTAGGAAAGGCATCTTGAGGATGGCACTTTGACACAACGATATGAAAAGTAATTTCAATACCCACTTACCCTTTAACTAGATTTCTAAATATCAATTTTCTTTTGTGGGAAAAAAAAAGGCTGGAGTTCTTGACTATGAAACCTTTACCAAGAGTTTAGAAGCTTTGGAGGCCTGGATAGTAGAAGCGGAAGAAATATTGCAAGGGCAGGACCCTGGCCACTCTTCTGACCTCTCGACCATCCAGCAAAGGATGGAAGAACTTAAGGTAAGTGCTTTCAAATCCTAGCCCCAGATCTTCTATCTTTTGTCCTCAAAATCTTAAGGAATACTCACAACTCCTAAGATAGGCATACTTTTTATTTTGAGCTTCCAAAGAAACCCTTGCCAGCTCTGTTTTCCTGGAGTGAGCACGCACTGATTTCACAGACTGCGGTGGGAGCCTGGCCAGGAGCAGCCCTAGGACCCCAGCTCAGTGCTGCTTCTCCCCTCTTCCCATGCCCAGTGGGCAACCTCCTCCTTCATAGCCCATGGAACCTCCATCCCCGTCTCTACCTTCCTCTCCTACACAAGCCCCCTGTCTCTCGGATCCTGGCAACAGCCTCCGTGACTCTCCTTGCAGCCACTCCTCCCCCTCCAGCCCACAGCGGCCAGAATGATCTTCTAAAAGGTTTTACTTAATTATGAACTATTTTAAACAGTCAGTAAATAAAATAATACCATAGACATGCCAAGTTCATTGTCTTTTTCCTCTGCTTAAAACCCTCCGCGGGTTCCCACTGCTCTCCCAGGGTGAAGACCGGTGTGGATTATCAGGCCCAGGGTACCTGGCTTGCACCTTCTTTAGGGCCTCATCCATCTCAGCATCCATCACAGTGCTTCTGTGGAAACACACTATGTTCCCCTTTCCGGAATTCCTTTTTTTGCCCCACCAACTCCCTTCCCACCAAAAGGAATTAACTTTCGGTCATTTTGTTCAATGTCACTCTCTTAAGAAAGTTTTTCTTTTGTTCATGGTCAGGGTCCCCAGGGACACACTTCCAAAGTACACTATTTTTTTTTCTTAAATTTTTTTTCATACCAGTTAATTATGTTCATGTGATCAGGTGACCACTGTTGTGGAATAGTATTGTGACTCTATTATTAGAAGAGTATCTTACAGTCTGTAAGCCCCATGAGAAGGACCATGCATGTGAGTTTTGTTCATGTGATATCTGTCCATGGAAATTCTGCCATTTGGTTGTTAAGCTTTTGGCTTCAACACTTGGGAAGATTTATTCTGTCTGCAGGGTAATGAGCCTATTTCAGAGCATGAAAAGAGAAAACACACAGCCAAAGGTGTCCTGACATTTCCTTCCTCCTGTAGCTGGTTTCCTAGATGGGGTTATAGATGCCCACATGAAAAACAGAAAAGACAGCCTTGTCCTATGTTTGAGATCTGAAAGCATAGATGGTATTGTCAGCTGAGTCTCACCAACTTTGGGATTGGGGCCAAGGACCTAAAACTGAAGCTGTGACATAATGTGTGGTGGCTTCCAAACTTGAATGGGATCGTGTTCCATCTAGCAAGAGGTCCACAGCTCCTGTTACCCAGACCTGCCACCTGCTAGCTGGGGGGCCTTGCGCAATTTACTTACAGATTCTCAGCATCTTGTCTCCCATCCTGAAATCGGAATAGTAGTGGTACTTACCTTATGGTATTGTTTTGCAAATGAGTTATTACCTGTAAAGCTCTTATAATAATACTTGGTTTATAATAAGTGCTTAAGGAATGGTAGCTATTACTATTATAGTTGTTGCTATTATAAATGTTATTATTGGTGTTAGATAATAATGGAGCAGAATAGCACAGATACATGGAATATACAGGGTAAGAAATAAGCCTTTTCAGTCATCAGCATAATTTTCATCCTTCATCAGTTACCAAGAATTACTTATGAGTAAACAGACCAAGTAAATAATACACATCAACTACCTACATGTTTAGTGAAACCAAGTAAGTAGCTGTAAAAGCAATTGCAGCAGAAGCACTGGAAACTGATTAGGAGATGTAGCTCTTTTTTATTTGCAGCTCTGGAGATTACAAGTAAGTGGCCTAGAAATGCATAGGAGCCCAAAGACTGGCTTCTTCCAGAAATCTGAAGTCCACTGTGCAGCGTGAAAGAACTCTGCCTTTTCTTACCATAGTGCTAAATTGCCTTTTAAATCTTGCTTTCAGGGACAGATGTTAAAATTCAGCAGCATGGCCCCAGATTTAGACCGTCTAAATGAGCTTGGATATAGGCTACCCCTGAATGATAAAGAAATCAAAAGGATGCAAAATCTGAACCGGCACTGGTCTCTGATCTCCTCTCAGACAACAGAGAGATTCAGGTAGAGTAACCAAGAGATGTTTTGGCCACTCTGATAGATCAGTAGAAATGAGTGCATGGCTTGTGTACATTTATAAGTTCCGAGTCTTTCCAATGATACTTACAAAATTTGAACCGGAAGTGGCAAATTCAGTGAAATGGTTGCCCATGCCTAAGGTACTAAAAATTGTTGGAACAAAAAAATTTTAAAAAGAAAATTCATATAAGAATTATTAAAGATACATACATAATTTTATCATTCTTAAAACTTACCACTTTAAACTTTTATTCTTTTTTTTTTTTTAATTTTACTACCTGAGGTGAAAACTTTGTGGTGGTCAGTTTAGAAGTAGAGGCAGAGGATATTCATTTAATCTAGTTTTATATACTAACAATATAAGAACGAAAACATAATCATATTCTCTTTCCTTTGGTCTGTCAGTAAGTTGCAGTCGTTTTTGCTACAACATCAGACCTTCTTGGAAAAATGTGAAACATGGATGGAATTCCTGGTTCAAACGGAACAAAAGTTAGCAGTAGAGATTTCTGGCAATTATCAGCATCTTTTGGAGCAGCAGAGAGCACATGAGGTAGGTTATGCCAGTGGGTTTTCGGGTAATAACAATACCATGTGGAGGAGTTCAAACACTGTATCTTGTGTTGATAGCTCTTAAGCTTGGAGTTTTCCCATCTTAATTACAAAAGTGTGGTCCAGTTCTTTGCTTCCATAGTTGGCTTTAAAAATGTGTCAGGCGTCAATATCCTGTGATGTATACTGCCGGAATTGTGGTAAAAGTCTCCTTATGGGGGGTAAGGGGTGGGGAGAGGGATCAGGGGTGTGTGTGGAAGGAATGCAGAAAGACAATTTTTGAATTGAGTTACATACTACATTAATATTGCCAAGGCTAGTTGATTAAGAAATTATGCCTTGATCACAAGTCTTTGATAAATGAAAATTGTGTGTTCTGTAAAAAGCATTTCTGTACCAGATATCTCCAAGTGTACCTCTTGGTCAAGACTCATTATAATTATTTCTTAAGAAACACTGAAGAGAGAACTGTGTGCGAAAAGCAAAATAATTAATTTGCTATTAATCTCGGTTTCCTGGTGTAACTAAATTGTCCCATGTATTTATGAAATATACGCAAATGGAGAGAGAGATAGGATTTACCTAAAAGCAGAGAAAAGCTTAATGCAGAGCTTGAAAGAGAATGAAACTAGGGGCATCTGGGTGGCTCAGTCAGTTGAGCACTGGACTCTTGATTTCACCTCAGGTCATGATCTCACAATCGTGAGATCAAGCCCTGCATTGAGCTCCACATTCAGTGTGGAACCTGCTTAAGATTCTCTCTCCCGCTCTCTCTCTCTCACTCTCACTCTGTCCCTCTGCCTGTCTCCCCAGTTTGTGTGCTCTTGCTCTCTCTCTCTCACACACACACACAAAAAAGAATAAAACTAATTTTAAAGCATTTTCCTTAAATTTTAAAAATAGAGAATTTAAAAATGTAGAAGGTATTTTTAAGTCCATTTTTATCAAGGTGACTTAGAATGGAATAAAAGACAATGAATCAAAACTAAAGTCAGCTATCACTTTATATCCACTACGATGACTATGATGAAAAAGACAGCATGTGTTGATGAGAGTATATAGAAATTGAATCCTCATGCTACTGGTGGGGATGTAAAATGGTGAAGCTGCTTTGGAAAACAGTTGGACAGTTCCTGAAAATATTAAACAGAGTTACCATATGACCCAATAATTCTACTCTTAACTTTATACCCAAGAGAAATGAAAATATGTGTCCAGAAAAACTTGTGCAAGAATATCATCCATATCAGTGTTATTTATAGTAACCCACAAGTGGGAACAACATAAATATCCATCAGCTGATGAATGAATAAATAAAATGTATGGAATACTATTCAGCAATCAAAAGGAATGTGGTGATGATACATACTTCACATGGTCAACATTGAAAACATTATGCTAAGTGGAAAGAAGCCAGTCACAAAAGACAGGCAGGATGCTATTTACATGAAATATCCAGAGTAGGCAAATGCATAGACACAGAAAATGTTAGTGATTACCTAGTGCTCATGGACTGAGAAGAAATGGAGAATGATTGCTGAGTGTGGAGTTCTTTTCAGGGTAATGGTCTAAAGAAAATAGTCTAAAATTGATTGTCGTGGTGTGTGCCCAACTCTGGGAACATCATTAAAGTCCTGAAATTATAGACTCTAAGTAGGTGAATTGTTAAGGCATGTGAATTATTGTCTCAATAAATTTGTTTTAAAAACTGTGGAAATAATTTGAAAAACTTTCTGTTGAATTTTTTTAGCGAAAAAATTTTATTAACCAAATTAAGTTAAAAAACAGTGACTTAAAAAATGGGAGGTTTTAAAATCTTTTCAACTTTCTAAAAGATCTTAAGCTATTCCCTATCTGAAAAAAAAAAACAGAATACTAATTATGTGTTGACACTTAATGTTATTAGGTGATTTTGAAAGAAGTGAAACATAATTCTACCTTTAGTCACTTAGTTTTACTAAACAAAAATGAAACTTTAAATATATCTTAATTGGTTGTTTAAAAATATATTATTTCGGGGTGCCTGGGTGGCTCAGTCGGTTGAGTGTCCAACTTGGGCTCAGGTCACGATCTTGTGGCTTGTGAGTTCACGCCCCGCGTCAGGCTCTGTGCTGACAGCTCGGAGCCTGGAGCCTGCTTCAGATTCTGTGTCTCCCTCTCTCTCTTTGCCTGTACCCCACTTGCACTCTGTTTCTCTCTCAAAAATAAATAAACACTAAAAACATTTTTTTAATGCATTATTTCTATACTGCAGGATTTTACACATATCCTGATTCAACTGGAAACATTTTTCAAAGCTTTACTAAAACCAGAATTTTTGGAAAGTTACCAGAAAACTGGTCACTGAAATTGGGAACTCTAAAGTATGTTTTTCTATTTTTCAAATAATAGTTGTTTCAAGCAGAGATGTTCAGTCGTCAGCAGATTTTGCACTCGATCATTATTGATGGGCAGCGTCTTCTAGAACAAGGTCAAGTTGATGACAGGTAGGATCCTTGATATATTATTATGAAGAAAGTTTCCAGTGAATTAGTTATTTTCTTTTTAATGAGCAGATTAGAGGGCATGTATCTAATCTTCCTAAGGCAATTGTGCTGCAATGGAGCCTCAGTAATTGAAGGAGAGGCTTGTCTGAATCTCAGAAATGAGTGAGTATTGAGTCTTCTTTAAGAACTGCTGTTATATTATATAAAGGACATAGAGTAATTGGAAATCACCTAGCCAACCTTCTCCAGACCTCTGCAGGAGACTGGAATTAATGAATAGATCAGAACAAATTGTATCGATGATGTATCAATGGTTTATAAACAGATGCTTCTAATATTCTCATACAGCTACAGAAATTGTATCCTCAAGGGAGCATAGAGATCACTAGATCATCTCTCTTACTTATAGATGAAAACTTGCGGTCCAGAAATGTGAACTGATGTGACCAAGGTCACTCAGCTAAGTAGCTGGTTTTTAGTCAGGACCAGACAGCTTTCCCATAGCATGGTAATTCCAGGTTTGAAAATGGTTTGCTGCCTTAAGGCAGCAGACACACAAACTGAAATCCTGCTTCCTCTTCATTTACTTAGCAGATTGCCTCTTTATTAAAAATGAAGAGGCAAAATCTAGCTCATCTTTCGACTTCTGGTGTGTGAATTGACCGTTTCATACTGTGTTTACATTTCCTGGGAACAATAGCTAGTCTATTGCATCTACTTTATGTGGTGATATTGGAGTATAACTGCATTTATTACATAAAAACATCTCTCCCATATTAAGGCCCAGTAACCGTGATTAGAATTAACGTAGTGTTTTTTTCAAAAATGAAAAAACAAAAAACAAACAAACAAAACAGAACATAAATCATTGTTTTTATTAAAAGGGTTTTTTTTTTTTAATGTTTTGGAAGCAATTTCAGTTTTGAGTGGATATTTCTTTGGAGGTAACATGGAACATTTTCATGGTCATGCTATGGAACAACAAAATATGATACCGTATTTATTCTTTTCTAAAAAATTATGTATTTAAATTCAAGTTAGTTAACATACAGTGTAGTATTAGATTCAGGGGGACAACCCAGTGACTCATCACAACCCAGCAATTGAAAACTACTAGGTATTTATCCAAAGGATACAAAAATGCTGAATCCATATTTATTCTATTCAAAGTGAGCCAGACTTAAACATGGGCTTTACTGAGAATTTAAGGCCTTCAAAATAAAACAAATTCAAATTCAATTAGCTTATTCTTGCTTTAGCCTCCCTTGATCAACTCTATAACAGTATTATAAAAGTTTAAGTGAGGAAGTAAAACAAAATTTAAAAATCATGTACAAGCCAACATCTATTCAATTGTAAATGTTAACAGTTAAGGAGAAACACCAAAAAATAAGAAAATGGGAGGGTTGAACCAAGGATAATTCTCAAAGTTGAAAGGAAAAAAAAAATTTGGATTAGAGCACGAAAGCACCAGATTAGGAATGTATTGTGTTTTAAACGTTCATTTCTAAATTTCGTGTTGAGAGTTCACGTTCAGCCACAGGAACAGTGTCATGTGTTAAGTATTTCCTCACATTAGCAGGAAGCTCAGGACTGTTGAGGACAAGGGCTCCAAAGACATGGTGGATGGTGGCCTGAGGGGGAAAGTACTGTGGGAGGGTACTTTTCATGTTGCAGGACGTTCTCAAGTCCTCCAGTTAAATGTTTTCGGAGATGATGGATGCTTGTAACTTCTGGGGGAGTTTCATGAACCTAATTCATCACATTTGATTCTTCTGCAATTAGATTATTAATATCAGAATTTCCTTTCAGAAGCAAGAAGCACCAATAATACATTTGGTTTACAAAACCAAGGTGTATAGTGGGCCTAGATAATGAGAGGTGTCAAGAATGTAGGGGTCCAGAACAGTCAGTCAAGCTCAGATTGGAAGCCACCCACAAGAGGAGAAAATAGTATATGGAAGGGAAGAAAAGCAAAACTTACGTGATAGAGAAAAAACAAGTGATGTTACACTTTAGTATTCAAAGGTGAATAATGCTCTAATCTACAGAGAAATTCATTCTATTTGATATAGGACAAACGAATTGTAGAACCACAAATTAAAACTTCATAGAGAACTACCAACCCCCTTTTTAAGGTTGAAAACACAGATGTAGGAAGGACAAACTAAAAGATCTGAGATTATTTAGCCTGAAGTTAAGAACACTTACATAAAACTTACTCTTTTTAAGTATATGGACAACCTTCATACAGCCAACAATAACTAGATAGTTTGCATTTTTCTAAGAACAAAATGAAGTAGGCTTAACATGTAGAGGGGACGATCTAGATTCATATGTAGAATAATTTGCTAAAGATTAGGACTGTTTACTGTAAGAGAATACAGAGAGTTTCCAAGGACAGTTTTAAAGAAACATTTTTAAATAACATGGTTTTATTTAAGTGGCTTATGATTCTGGCTGAAATAACCCCGCGTTGTTCATCCAAAGTGGCTTATAATTCTGGCTGAAAACTGAAGTGCATAAATAAGTTTTGGTCCTCATTTTCTCCCGCTGTAGCACAAACAAGATGTCGCCTCCTGCTGCATACACTTCTTAGGGTTTGGGCACATTCCCGTGGTGTCACTACCCAATGCTCCCCACCTCTTGTGTACTCAGGGAGAGAATAGATGACAGTGACTTTACAGATATGCCTTTAACCTGTGCTGAGACATGAAAATACTCACTGTTTGCCAAAACCAATAGTTTGACTGCTATAAATTTTAAAAATGACTTGAAATAGACCCAGTAACAGATCCTGGAATGATATTTGAAAACCTCTGCCCTAACTCACTTCTCAGGGCTTAGGGTCACCAAGCATATGCACATTGTGTGTAGACATGTCTGATTATGAAAATGTACCCAGGGTAACAAAGTTTCCTCCCTATGTAATTATTTCTGCACCAGGGATGAATTCAACCTGAAACTGACCCTTCTCAGCAATCAGTGGCAGGGAGTGATTCGCAGGGCCCAGCAAAGGAGGGGCATCATCGACAGCCAAATTCGCCAGTGGAGGCGGTACAGGGAGATGGCAGAAAAGCTTCGTAAATGGTTGGTTGAAGTGTCCTATCTTCCCGTGAGTGCTCTCGGAAGTGTCCCAATACCACTGCAGCAGGCAAGGACCTTCTTTGATGAAGTGCAGGTAAGGTGCAAAACACACGGTCTTTAAACCTCTTCTGTGTTTCCACTGCACGCTTTACCCTCGCCTCAGTTCTTCGCAAGGATTCTGGAGTGACACTGGAATGAGGACAATCATTGTTCCCGAGTGTCAACAATAACACACAATACGATTGCATTACAAAGCCCGTGTATAGTGATGACACTGTCTGGTCAGGCCCAGCTGCTTACAGACCCTCTCCACTTTCCACACCAGTGCCTCCCAGCAGCTCACTCATCCCCAGCATGGAGGCAAAGGCAATGGCCGGGAAAGGAACACCGCATTGATTATACTCACGAGCAACGTAAATGTGTAACTTAAGCATTCCGGAAAAGATAAAAGTCTAGGTCCTGTCTGAGCTTTTTGTCTATTCCTGGCTTGGCTCCGTACTTCCATCTATCTGGGAACTGGGGACTCCAGCCCCTTAGACAGATACGTCCTAGTGCTCTTATCAGTGCTTCCCAGTATGTTTTGTGGTCTCCTTTTGCTTTGGCGGTCACTGCTCTCTGCTTTCTTTCTCCTCGCTTCTCTGGGAGACCTCATCCACACATGTGTCTGCCTGCTACCAGCAGAGAAGGGCCAGCGTGGTATCTTCCAGTCCCATCTACCTCCTGAGCTTTCAACTTATATATTCAGATTATATATGTGTGCATACAGACCTAGTGTGCACCATGGGTTCCAGCTTCCAGCAGGGCCTGTGATCTCAGGACCAGCCATTCCCCAGCAGTCCATTTCCCACAGCCCCAGCTCAAGGAAATGTCTGGCAGCGGCTAACGCTTCTATCACTTGGACCCTGGGAGGTGCTCTAGAGCTATATTCTTTGCCTCTCCCTTCCCATATCTAATATATTCCCACTGCCACTGCCTTAGCGGTGCTCATGATAGATGATAGCTTTCTTCTTCCTCTTCTTCTTTTTTTAATGTTTATTTATTTTTGAGAGAGAGACAGACAGAGCGTGAATGGGGGAGAGGCAGAGAGCGAGAGCGAGATACAGAATCTGAAGGAGGCTCCACGCTCTGAGCTGTCAGCACAGAGCCGGATGCGGTGCTTGAACTGACAAGATCATTACCTAGGCCGAAGTTGGACGCTTAACTGACTGAGCCACCCAGGTGCCCCATAGACGACAGCTTTCTAACCTGTTAGTATATCCAATATATGCCCACCTGCCATTCCGTCTTCTACCCTCCTGCAAAGTGTTATAATCCAAACACATCACTTCCTTGCTTAATATTCCCCTGTGAATCTCGGTCACTTTCACTATTTAAAAAAAAAATGCCTTTGCAAGCGTGGTCTTGTGTCCTCTTCTGCCACTCTATCACACGCATACTGCATTCCCTCTGAAAACTGCATCCAGGATCCTGAATTCATCATCTTTATCTCAATGGCAAATTTTCCCATCTTCATTTCTCTGTGTGGAAGGATTCCCCTGACTGACGCCTGGCCCTCCTCACACCAGGTCCTTCTTAATCTAGTCGTGTTCCTATGTCTCTAAGACTCATGAAGCCTTTTCCCTTCGAGGAAGCCTGTCTTGCATCCACATGGGTTAGATATTTGAGCACTGGTCTTTCTTGGAATCGGTTGTTTGTATCAAACAAGTGTCCTAAATGTTTTCGGCAGAAGAAATAAAAAGACCATAATAAAACTTAAAATAAGTAGGAGTGGGTTCCCTACGCATCAGTCTCATGGGGCAGTTTTCATATTGCATTGTGACTGCATTTAATTTGGGGACAGAAACTAAGCCTCCCCCTGTCGAATCCTCACTCATGTGTATACATTGCTTCATTCATGCCCAGAGTACGCGCTCAGTAATGTTTGTTGTATCGAGGGGGCGTGCTATGTATGAAAACCCGTAGGGTCGTTTAAAAATCCTTGGAATAGGGATATGGTGAAGAAAAGAATGAGAAAGTAAAAAGCAACGGTTCCTTTCAGTTCAAAGAAAAAGTGTTCCTGCGACAACAAGGCAGCTACATCCTAACAGTGGAGGCTGGCAAGCAGCTTCTGCTCTCGGCTGACAGTGGAGCTGAGGCCGCCTTGCAGGCGGAACTCGCTGAAATCCAAGAGAAATGGAGATCGGCCAGTGTGCGTCTGGAGGAACAAAAGAAAAAGCTGGCCTTCTTGCTGAAGGTAAGTTCATCTCCTTCCTCCTAGAGACCTGATGCAGTTTAAGGAGCCACACAGGTAGTTGCACTGCTTCCTCCTGTTGTTAGCTTTCGAATCGGATGATGCGAAGATTAACTCACACCCTGCAGGTTTTTGATACCCTCTGTCTTATTTAAGACTTTGTTCTGTCTTGCACGAGCTGGAGAAGTTTCCTAGTTTTCAGCAATGTGTCTTGCAGAAAAATCCCCCCACTAAGTAGTTTTAAGTCTAATAAGACTGTCCAAGTGATGAATTCTGATTAATGGTCCGTGCTAAGCCAAGAACCGTGTGATGACTTTATAAATCCAAACAGGAATGCAAGGAGTAGATTCCACTCCCTGATCTGAGACTCTAAAGTGGTTTTTAAGATTGATATCTCTTATTTTATAGCAAGAAAAACCTATCCAAGAAGATACTCTTGATTTCATTTTCACTTATCCAAGCACGTTGCTATGAGATAAAATTCGGGAGGTATATTAAGCCTTTCGCTGGATACAGAGAGCATACTGATCACACTGCAAGTTCAGGGAGATGTAGATTTATCCAGATCCCCCACAATCCAGTTTTCTCCCCCCTCACTTGACAATACTATATATAAAACATGATGATACATGCACTGGAAAAAGAGCATGGTCTCTACTCAGATAAATCCAAGTTAAAAGCATAATAAACCAAGTAACCTGGTTAACTCAACCTGTCTAAGCCTCAGTTTCCTCCTGTATAGTTTGGGTATGATAACCCTTCCTGCACATGGCATTGTGAGGATTTAATGATATAATGAAGGTAAAAACAGGCGGCACGTTACCTGCACATTTGGGCATTCAATAAATGATGGTAATTGTCATTGTTGGTATTATTATCATATCAAAAAGTGAACAGAGCTAAGGAGTAAAGGTTTGTATATGTTGATAATCACCAACACTTTAACAAAATTATCTATTGGGTTTGGCCTGCCACTTTTTTGGATCACAGGTAATAACCAAAGGGAATGGAACACGTTTTGCTTTTATAATACTTAAAGTATGCACACCCATTGGGTTTATTCTGTTGGATTTTATTTAATAATATATTACCTTCTGTGTAGGAAACACTCCATCAAAAATACCACTGAACGGGGGCGCCTGGGTGGCGCAGTCGGTTAAGCGTCCGACTTCAGCCAGGTCACGATCTCGCGGTCCGGGAGTTCGAGCCCCGCATCAGGCTCTGGGCTGATGGCTCAGAGCCTGGAGCCTGTTTCCGATTCTGTGTCTCCCTCTCTCTCTGCTCCTCCCCCGTTCATGCTCTGTCTCTCTCTGTCCCAAAAATGAATAAACGTTGAAAAAAAAAAAAATTAAAAAAAAAAAAAATACCACTGAACGTTTGATAAAGAACTTTTATTTGCGCACAGCGCAATTCATCAGTAATACAATACGCCTGATTCTTTTTTCTTCTTTTTTGCTTTCAGGAAAGGATTAAAAACATTGTAACTCATTCTGTAGAGATCATGTTAATCCTATATTTTTCTTTATTTGCAATGTGATTTTTGGACGCACCCCCGAGAATTTAATAAGGCAAAATGGCTGAGTCACTGCATTTACTTTTCTCGCCAGTCTGTCTGTTGGCGTGTAAGATGTCCGTCCGCTTTGATAGATGATCACAGACCATGCCATCTTGCTATTCCCTTGTAATTCATGTAGCAAAAAGACTGGGTTATAGCTTCAGAATCCAAGCCATCCTTGGAAAGGGGAATCCTTATTCTTGTTAAAGTTGATTTTATTTTATTTTTTAGTTTATTTTGTTAAGTTGATTTTATTTTAAATCAGACATGAGGACCTAATTGCCTAAGAAGAAATTTATGCAGCTAAATTCTAATGTTAATGTCATTTTCTTTATTTTAGTGTATCTTCATACCACAGCTATGGTGCTTACCTGTGTTTAGCTCTTGATTTAATGCTCTGAGTAAATATGCCAGGAATACAGTGATTATATAATTCTATGGCCTATATGTTCACATGCTTTCCTGTTGCCTCTTAGTTTTATTATGGAAAATAGGAAACTGGCCTTTTCTCGTTTAGATCAATGAACATTTATCGATGGCATGTGGATAGGTTTCAGACTGTGAAGAGTTCATGGAGAATGCTGCTGAATTTAGTAAGAAGATCTCACTATGCTGAGCATTAATGAACTCATTGTAGCCTGGGAATACTGAGATACTTCAACAGGGGGGAATTGGAACAGATCTGTCCAAGACAGACAGTTTGTGGTTTTTTTGTTTGTTTTTGTTTGTTTTTTTCTGGTAAATGGAAAGAGAGAATGTGGTTATGCACTCTAGGAAGTTCCCTGTAGGAATTTAAAAGTGCAGTGAGAATCTTGGGCCAAATGCTCAGTCTGGTTAGAAACCAAAAGACCTTTTGGGTAGGGAGGTGCTTTAGTCAGCACTTCTTACAGAAGATAGGTGTGCTCATAGCACCTATGGGCTGCTGCACTAAAAATAAAGTGTCAGGAGAGGAGATAGAAAGAGCCCAGATGAGAAAAGACTGGTGACAAAGGAAGAGATAATGTGAGGGAAAAGGTACCATGCTCACTACCGAAAGCATTTCTAGTTGTCTTTCTGTGGAGTTCAGTAATTTAAGTTGTGGGGAGTGGCCACTGGACGTGGGGGTGGGGGTGGGGTACCAGAAAGGGGTGGGGGGGAGACAGGAATGGGAGGTAGTAGGCAAAATTAAGGAGATCTATTTAGATAAACTTAATTTGAACTGTCTCTGAGACACCAGATAGGCCTTAATTTGTAGATGTGGTCCATTATGGTTCCTTTAATAATTTTTTTCTTTTACTTTTTTTTAATAAAGAAAGAAATACATGTGTCAGAAAAAAATGCAGGTAATAATTGAAGTATGTAGAGTGAAAAATGAAATTTCCTCTCTACTGCCACCAGAGGTATCCACTGTTACCAGTTTGGTGTGTAACCATCTGAAATATAACCACATAATGTATATTCTTTGTCACTCTGTAGAGATCTACCGATCTACCCCTCTGTATACCACCAGCCTCTATCTACCGCTCACCTTGCGATATTCTTCTTCGGAGCACTCATTAGTGTTTGGCATACTAGATATATATTTTTAACATTTTGCCTTATCTCTCTTCTTCCATTTGCTGATTGTTTCCCATTTTATGTGTTATATACTCAACCCTTTGTGACATGTTTCAGCAGGATCAAGATAGAGCCCACCAAGTGCCAGCCTTTTGTAGTTGTGTATTTCTACTTCTGTAACAATTCAAATTTATGTGCCTCATACTAGTCATATAATGAATTGAATCAGAGTCAAGGTTATATTATTTTTACATTTCATCTCACTTTTCTTATTCAAACACATTTCATCCTGAAAGAGATTCCATATTCTCTTTTTTTATCTCTTATAGAGCATTTGAGGTAGTGTAGACACATCATAGATGGGGCTAGGAAAGGGGCAAAATAGTACAATTATACTCTTAACCTCTGCGGATTGATTCAGATCCAGATAACATTTTTGAGTCCCCGTAATATTCTGGGCATTGTATTTGGTGCATTCACACCCATTGCTTCCTCCAACCCTTCAACAATCATCGAGTCTGTATGCCCATTTTCATAGGGAAAACTGAGGCATAGCATAAATGTAGAACTCCCGCTGTTCTGATGCTGCCTACGTGAAAATGGATGTGGACTCCACTTCGCGTTTTTCACCAGGGTATCTGTATTGTTTCTGTGGGATTCAGGAGAGTGTTTAGCTTTCATTCCAGTTTCCTACAAAGAAAAAAATACCATGAACTTTCTTTCTCCTCCCATTCTAGGACTGGGAAAAATGTGAGAATGGTATAGCTGATTCTCTGGAGAAGCTACGAACTTTCAAAAAGAAGCTGTCTCCACCCCTGCCAGATCACCACGAAGAGCTCCATGCAGAGCAAATGCGTTGCAAGGTGAATTACTGGACTGACGTTTTAGCCATCACTTACCTGTGTGCTTCTGCTGTAATGTTGCCTCTGAAAGCCTAATTCTGTCAAACTGCTGTAGCTGTCTACATGTAGATGCACGTTCCTAGGATATTGCGTTAGGGCAGGCAACTCTGGTGAAACTTGGTTGTTGATTTATTGCAGCTGATGAAATTATAGGCTAGTTCGTGGATTATCTTGAGAAAGCAAATGACAATGGAAAACACAGCATTAAAAGATATTTAAAAGCTGGATCAAGGGCAATAAACACAGTCTTTTTAAAGCATCTACACTGGGGAGTTGTTGCAGCAGAATAGTCTAGTTTACGGAAAGAAGAGCGAGGCTTGGCAGCCTGGAAATTCTGCAGACAGTGGCTGTTGGAGGAACACCCTGCCCTCCAGACTCTTCCATAAGGAAAATGGGATCTGTAAGTAGCTGATTTCAGTCAGAGCATGGAGAGACACAGCCATTCAGTTACTCTCAGGGCCCTGACTACCTAAAGAGCAAGGTCAACCTGTCAAGTCACAGTTGGAAACAAATCAGGAGCTGATACAGACCCCTCCCTGCATCATGAGCTCATGGAGACCAAAATGACCTAGTGGCTGTAGGATTTGTTCTGTCCATGCCCATCTAGTCAACTGAAGTCTTTGGATGGCAGTTCTCTGCTGAACGATGTGCAGATCTAGTAAAAACTGTCTTTGCAAATGCTTTTTCTCCCCCGAATAATGCATGTCTTTGCATTCCCCAGTCATTTGCAAATTACTGCTCTAGAGTAATGCTGTTTAAAACTTCACACGTACTTAAATGATTTGGATTTTAAGCAGAAGTTCTCTGCTTCACTCTAAGAAGTCATAAGCATTAAAGAAAGGTTGATTTTTTAAAAAGTCTTAAAATCATGAAAAGTCTTAAAATCATGATGTCAGAATTTTCCACCAGTATTAAAATTTAAGGATATTCTTTGAAACTTGAAAGAGGCAGGTTTAGGAAAAATAAGAGATAATATACATTAATGACATCATGGATGGCAAATAAGGAAAATATTACCTTGAGATGTAAATTCAGAAATATGCAAAGATTAAAGCGTTTGTCAGTTTATAAGAAGTGATTAAAGAAAATTTTGATAAACAGAAACAAGCATCAATTGGGCTCCTCCGATGTGCCAGTGATTATGCCAATATTATCTCAGTTGGCATAAACACAAGCTTACAAGTACAATCTGTTATTTCTGTTTTATAGATGTGAAACCTGAGCCTTCTAGAAGTTTAATAATGTCTCAAAGTGAGTCAGTATCAGGGCTGCCTGAATCCAGAGGCAGTATTTTTACTACATGGACTCATCTAACGGAGTCCGTGGGTCTGAAACAGTTGGTTTTTGGTGGTGGTGGTGTTTCTTTTATAATCCTTACACCATGGGTTATATCTGATGTTTGGGTTAGGGCCTAGAAATTGGAATTAAAAGGGGAAAAATCTTTACATTGGTTTAACAGTTTAATGTCTGCAAATATAAGCAGAAATACTGTATATTTAATCCACCTGGATGGTTTGGTCTTTCAGCCAAATACTGTTACCATGGGACCTCGTCTCCTAAAATACAACAGTTACAAACATACCCTGCTATTAAGTTCAGAGATTAAAAGGATGCATTTTGGTCCAGCTCTCTGCTACTCTTCCCCAAAGCACCCTTTGCAGCAAAACAAAGCAATTACCTGGAAAATTCAGACTAAAATCTTGTTTGTCTAAATTGCCTTTGAAGTTAGCCTCAAACAGTACTGTTAATTGCCTTTGCTTTTGGAAACTTGTCACCTGTGTGAAGAGACAAAAAGATAGGGGAAAAGCCACGTGAAATACTCGATTTATACACAAAATTGGCTGGAATCTAAAAGCATCAACAGCTGGCAAAAGGCAGGTTATCCAAATTGCAAAACTGGTCATCAGTTCAAAGCATGCAAAAACCAACGTCAGCTCATCCAAATACTATTTTATGGATTTGTTCTTAAATCATTCCCCAAAAGGACAGAGTACATAATTTTCTTCAGTAACTTGAAGAAATCTGTGTTCCTAGAGGAAATGTATTTCCGTTATTTTCAATTGAGTAATAATAGCAATGGATCTTTTCAGCAACTGTGTTAAGTCTCTATCACAGACTGTAGCAACTTCATAGTGTTTGAAGGTGAAAGTTAACCTAGGAGTTTGTTTTTTTGAAAATATTTTGTTAACATGATCAGTAACTCAGGACAAAAATAAAGGCTGGATCAGCCGTTTATGAAATCGGTTTAAAAGTAAAGAAGATCAGGCAGTGATGAAACTTCAGCTTAGAAAAGATGTGCCAAAACGATCAATTAAATGGCAAATAGATCATAGGAAGATTCTGCAAGCAACCGGGGGTTTTGTCAGTAGAACTTGGCCAAGTATCAGATTACATCAGAGCAAATAAAGTAGATACCAAGTGAGATGTTCAAATAGAATGGGATGGAAAGATCATTGTACCAAGAGGGGATTCCTAATACACCTCAGAAATTGATGATAGATATCCATGGGTATTCACGTTTTGGGGGCGGGGGTTGTTGCTTTTTTCTTTAATCTAGGAGTTGGAAAATGCAGCTGGGAACTGGACGGATGACTTGGCTCAGTTGGCTCTGCTGAAGGACACCCTCTGTGCCTACATCAGCGCTGATGATATCTCCATCCTGAACGAACGCATGGAGCTTCTACAGAGACAGTGGGAAGAACTGTGCCACCAGGTAGGATGAAGTCTAGACTCCGCGTTAGCTCGGTAAGGTGGAAAACTGGAAGATGGCTTGGAGCGTCAGATGGCTTGACCCATGTTTGGACCCATCCCATAACTCAGAGTAGACACAGAGGAAGAACTCTGGTTTTTGTGAGCATATTTCAGATTAAGTCAATTAAATCCTAATATTATATTTGAAATGCATCCAAACTGGCTTCTCTTGCTGTCCCTTTCACTGGCCAACAAAACAGTGTAAGAGGAAAACCAGTTTTTTGGTTCACAGATGGGGTCTTGCTAGGTGGATACTGGTGGTCTTTTTCTACTTTAACATGTGAAAAAGCTTTGTTTTATTTGCAACTTCGGCTAAAACTGTGGGGGTGGTTTTGTGTTTGGAATTATCGTGGCTTATTGATTTACCAGAGTTGTTTCCTCGTAATTCATGTGTTTGGCATTTTTAGTCATACCTGATCCGTACCTTCTTAATAGCTTAAAAGAGATCCCAGATTGGATTTTGATTTTGAAATGAGAGGGAAAGATTGGCGGAAAGGCAATGAGAAGGCATCCAAAGTAAAGAGGAATGACATAGATCAAAGGCCCACAAGTGAAGAACAGACTCTGACCGAGGGCCTTGAGACCAGACCCTCTGGGAAGCTGGGAGTGTGTCTATAGTGTCCCTTCCTTCACCTGACTGCTCTGCTTGGCACATAATAGGCTGTGATGCATGGTTGATATTTGTTAAATGGGTCAGTCACATGAATTATTGTGAATTTCACAAGCTATAGCAGATGCTCCTACAATCAAGTTTACAACAGAGTGGAGAGGAGAATGAGTCCAGAAGAACTTGTACAGTGAAGAAGAAAACTGGTATAAACAAGTTAAAACAATGTATAATGATGTAAGCAAACTAAGGGCAGTTTGGGTTGCAGGGAATAAAGGAAACGCTTGTTACAGCAGATAAATCTCGAGCTGAGTGCAGGGAGATGGGGAGCAGAGGGGACAGATTGGTGTGGAGGGAGCAAGCAGATGGGTTGCACGAGGTCACAGCTTGAATAAAGGTACAGGTGTGGAGTAGACAGAGGACCTGGCTGGGGAGAGGCAAGTGTTGGATGGATGAGGAAGGGGCTTTTGAGAAAGGTCTCGGTGCCTACCCAGTTTCAGGCCAACTGTGCTATGCTAGAGACCTCTTCTCTGCCATCCTCCCCACTTTTTCTGACTTTAGAGGTGCTTATCTTCATGCTTCAGGAAACATTAAGCAAAGTTTAAGAGGCTCAGAGCCTCCTAATTGATTTGACATCAACAAGAAATTTGTTGTTAGGTAAATTTCTCTGTATGTTTAGATTAAAACTGAGATACTTTTCAGACTGTGAGCCAAAGAGAAACCCTGGAGCACACTTTGTAAATGTGTGAAGAATTTCCTATGAATATATACTTTTAAAAGGCAGGAATGTAAGAGATGATGTTGAGTTCAAAATTAATTTAGCCATTTTTTATGGAGTTTCATAGTCTTAGTGAACACAATGAGAAACTTACATGGAGCGTAATAGTACTAATCACAATAGTATATACCTCTCTGAATTATTCAAGCCCAAATCAATACATTAATATCCAGTAAATTATCATATAATTTTCTAATGTAAGGACTTTATCATGGCATGTCATGTAAGTGAAAGATAATTTGGTGGGTACAAATAATGGAAAATGATCATATTCAATTACTTTTATGAGCCTTATTCATTTGTTTTTCTTAAGATTGAGAAAACTCCATCACTACTTGCTGACTCAACACTTTTCAGCGTATCTGTGAAGTTAATTTTACTGTATCTGTTTCTCTGGCTAATTGATGTCTACAGAGCCTTCAGAGAGATAATACTTGAGATATTGGCTTCCATTCCTTTTCCAAACCTGCCATGAACTGCCCTACCCCAAGATCTTGCTCAGATCATTCTTCCTGCCTAGACTGACCATTCCTTCTCTTCTAATTTTAACCTTTTTTCAAACTCCATAACCCCTGTGATGCCATTGTTTGAGATCCTCAGACGTCAGTATTTTTCTATTCCTCTGAACTCGCATTTCTGTTTTGTCCAAACCATCATGTGACAGTGAGTTGTTCCTCTCTTCTTCCTCCCTTTCTTTCTTCTTCTTCTTCTTCTTCTTCTTCTTCTTCTTCTTCTTCTTCTTCTTCTTCCTTCTTAATGTTTGTGGCTTTATTTCAAGACTATGAGGCCCTTGGGTCACCTGAGTGGCTCAGTCAATTAAACGTCTGACTTCAGCTCAAGTCATGATCTCACAGTTCGTGAGTTCAAGCCCCATGTTGGGATCTGTGCTGACAGCTCAGAGCCTGGAGCCTGCTTCAGGTTCTGTGTCTCCCTCTCTCTCTGTTCTTCCCCCGCTCATTCTCTGTCTCTCAAAAATAAACAAACATTAAAAAATTTTTTAAAAAAGACTATGAGACCCTTAAGAATTAAGACCATTTCTTTTTATCTCCAGTGCCCAGAACAGCTAAGTGTTCATAGGTACTATTAATTAAGGCAAGACTTTAGGGTATTTGTTTTATGTCATAATTCTTATGTTCTTCTAAATGTAAAATAATGGCAAGGTCTCTGAATATTTTGAAAGTTAAGAAGATTATGATTGTGCAATATTTTTTGATTTAGGAAAACTGGTACTGGGTAAAAATGCTATGAGACACAAAGGGCATAAACTTCTAGTTATGAGATGAATGAGTTCTGGGGCTCTAACGTACAGCATGGTAACTATAGTTAACAAGACTGTATTATATACGTGAAAGTTGCTAAGAGAGTAGATTTTTTAATTTATTAATTAATCAATTTAAAATTTTATTTATTTTTTAAAGTTTATTTTGAGAGGGAGCACATGCGCACACTTGAGTGGGGGAGGGGCACACAGAGAGGGAGAGAGAAGCCCAAACCAGCCAGTGTTATCAACGCGGAGCCGGAAGAGGGATTTGAGATCATGAGATCATGACCTGAGCTGAAACCAAGAGTCAGGAGCTTAACCGACTGAGCCACCCAGGAGCCCCAAATTTTTATTTATTTTTCAAATTCCAATATCCGTAGCATACAATGTTATATTAGCTTCAGGTATGCATATAGTGATTCAACACATTACTCAGTGCTTGTCAACATAAGTGTACCTTTAATTCCCTTCACCTATTTCACCCGTCCCCTACCTGCCTCCCCTCTAGCAGCCACCAGTGTGTTCTCTATATTTCAGACTCTTTTGTTTGTTTGTCTCTTTTTTAATTTGTTCATTTGTTTTGTTTCTTAAATTCCACGAGTGAAATCATATGGCGTCTGTCTTTCTCTGACTTATTTCACGTAGTATTACAGCCTCTAGATCTATCCATGTTGTTGCAAACGTCAAGATTTCATTCTTTCTTATGGCTGAGTAATACCTTAAATGCTCTGACAGCATACACAGAAATAGGAATCATGTGAGATGATGGATGTGTTAAGTAATCTTGAGGTAATCGTTTCGCCGTGTCAATGTATATCACAGCACCACATTGAACACCTTAAACTTACACACTGTTGTAATTCAATTCTATCTCAATAAAGGTGAAAAAAGAGAAAAGGGGACAAAAATTTATATGTTTACAATTGCTCACCAGACTTAGATATATCTAGGCAATAGTCTGTTTGGAAATACAGTTTGAAGGCTGCTGTTATCATATAATGTGCCCTGAAGAGATTAATACCTTGCACCTGTGAGTGGACTAAGTCAAAAAAGAGGAAGCAGATTGACTACATCGTGTTTCTAGAAACTTTCTAAATTGAATGTCTTCAGGCATGAAGGTAAAGCATACTGATCTGACGTTACTTCAATCTAAAAAGAATTAGTTAAACCAGTGAGATTTTAGGCATGGGTAGTCATACAGAGGCGTCAGGCTATAACTGTAAGTAGAAATATAAATTAGTTACTAGTCCTTGAGTGAGTTTCCGGAGTACTTCTGTCAAGTATGAAACCACAAAAGGAAATGAGCTTGGGGCTGTGTCTCATTTTAAAAGTTAAAAACTTCAGTTAAACATGGCATTATCCCACCGTTAAAGAGCAAGTCGTGTGTCCGTATTCCAATGGAAGCAGTTGATGAGAAGGCAGGAGTGATTGGGGCTGCCGGTGAGAGTGAGGAAGACACACTGTAAGTAAATGTTTCAGGGGAGGGTCGATAGTACAAAAGTAAACTGTTTATAAACCGACTCCCCAAATGGTCTGTTGTGCCCGTGCACAGCCTTAGCTTATCTTTGTCCTGATTCCTGTTTTGGTTCGTAGATCTGTGTGTAATTCTAGTTGAGACATAAATATATCACCATTGTAATTGCTTGGTGTTTTTCAAATTGTCATGGTAAAAATATTTGAAGTAGAAAAGGATGTATTTCCTGTTCAGCTGCCTCAGGCTCTGGAGGTTTTAGCTGGTTCTTGCCAGCTGTTGGCAATGCAGTGTGTGTGTATACCCTTGAGAAAACATAAATATGTGCTAAGCTGATCAAGAATTCGAGGGTTTCGGCTGAACCCAAAGAAAGAGAGGGTAATGCTCACTTATCATATAGCCTGAATATCAGTTTTACAAACCAAAAGGACAATGCCGTCTCCATTTTGAATGTTAAGTCTTTTGAAACGCTTTTGGTGGCACTTTGCAACCACTGCTTGTGGTCTACCTGTTTCTTTCCTCTGTTGCTTTAGCATAATAAGCAAATGAGAGCAGTGCTTTCATGGTGTGTAAGAAACCCGAGAGCTTCTTAGTGGAGTTATTGAATACATGGGGGTCAAGGAGAAAAAAAATACTAAAAATTCAAATGATACCCTGTAGTAGTAGCAGCAGCAGTCGTATATTAAAGGCCGGCTTTTGTTATATCGTTAGTATGTACCAGTGGCCTTCTTAAATTGTTTTCTTGTTCGTATTCTATTATGAGCCTTCTGTATTCCAGGACACATATCAATGCTTGGCACATAGTAGACACTTGTTTACTGCAAACAATAAACATTTGCTTAATGAAATTTGGAACAGATGAAAATTCATTTATAATGAAGGAAGTGAGGCTTAGAGATGACAAGTGACCTTGCCCTGGTCATATCCTTAGTAAGTGATAGAGACTGGTTTTTTGAATCTCAGCTGCCTCTGGATATTTGTTCGTAATGTTATATTGCAGCCTGTATCAAAGACTCCAGCTTTGCTGGCTCTATCTCATACGGACTATAAGCAACTGCCTCAACTTTGTCTAACCTTCTCTTTTCTTATCTTTGGAATGGGGATAATAAAACCTACCTCTCAAAATCATCTGTGATGTGGTGATCTTCCTTGCAGATGTTGAGAAAAGCCCTGGAATTCATCCTTGCTCGTGGCCAAGATTTGGGGGAAAAGAAAAGGAGGAGCTACACGTAGCAAGACCTATTAATCTTAAGTCTGAAGGGCAGGGGTTTTTGCCCTTTTCTGAGAAAACAGTTGCTTTTGGAGGTCCCAATTATAAAAATATAGTTTCAGTTTGGACATCACTTAAAACAGAATTTTAATGACCAGCCACACTCTTGACTCTGATGCTCTGTGAATGAGACGGAAAAGTTCTTCACCAGAAAATTCCAAATCTTAGCATTCCAGCAGAAGATCGGAATACACTCTGCTGTCAGAGTGTGAGAGGGAAGGGATGCTGGAAGGATCATGCGCTTAGCTGAATTTTAGCTCCAAAAATTTTTAACCCGCCTTTTCTTAGCCTTTTCCATTGCTGCCAGTGAATTTACCCTAAGTAAATTCATTTCTCTTTGGCTGTTCTGTATTTTTCTGCCTCAAAGAAAACAATGATAAACTGACTTGTACTATTGGGGAAACACTCAAGGGATTCATCAGTGTCACCCTACCCAGAGAAACTTTTGTTTTAAAAGCTCATAATTAATTCAAAAGACTGAATTTGTGAAGACTGACATTTCAGAAACTATGTGAGGTTATGGGGCCCACTGTCTAAGCAGTTCACTCTGACTAGGCCCAGCCCTAGCATAGGGAACCTGGTCTCAAAGCCTAATTGTTTTCTTAGGTGTAGAATCATAGACATTTTGGGTTTTGTGGGACCTTGACTCATTAACAGAGCCAACTACAGGCAGAATTGCTAACTAGGAAGTATATAGCACCTTAAAAACTATTTTTGTTTTGATTTTTTAAAAGGAAATTCGTTTGAAGTGTATCACAAAGTGAAATGGGTTGATGGATAAGGAATATATGTATTAAAGCAAAATGGAGCAAAATGTTAACAATTTGGGAGTTAACAATAGGGAACATGTTATGAGTGCTTGCCATTACAACTCTTTCCACTTTTCTGTATGCCTCATGTTTTTCATAATAAAATGTTAGTGAAAAAAAAGAAAATTGAGAGGTAGGTGCTTAATGTAATGGGATGACTGATAGAATGTCGAGCGTTATCAGCATGAGTGCGTAGAACATCCATAAAGAAGGATCATCTCATTGCCACTCAAATCATGTGATATTTTGGTAACAGGTAGTTTAGCCAACTAAAAATATTCCTTACGATCTTAACCAGCCCTGCAAAAACAAGACTATTATGATGTCAGAAAATTTTTAAGTTCTGGAAGGGATCACTCCAGACCCACAGATAAGGAACGGGCCCCTTGTGTTTCTAACGCAGAAAGGGCTGTTACAACAGCCCCATTCAAAAATGGACAAAGGATTTGACTAAATAGTTCCCTAAAGAAGATACACAAATGGCCAAGAAATGTGAAGAGATGCTCAACATCATTAGCCATCAGAGAAACGCAGATCCACATCACAGTGAGATACCACTTCACATCCACTAGGATGACCAAAGTCAAAAAGGCACATAATAACAGGTGTCGGTGAGGATGTAGAGAAATGAGCCCCCTGTTGCTGGTGGGAACGTACGCTGGCACAGCCACTTAGGCAGGCAATCTGTAGCGCCACCGTGTAACCTGGCAATTCCACTCCTAGGTATATACCCCTAAGGCCACTAAACATGTGTCCCCACACACACTTGGACACAAGTGTACAACAGCACTATTACAGTAGCCAAGAAGCAGAAACAACCCAAACATCCATCAGCAGTTGAGTTGGTAAATAAAACGTTGTCTATCCACACGATGGAATATCTTCAATAACTAAAAGGAATGAAGCACTGACCCATGGTACAACATAGATGAACTTTAGAAACATGCTAAGCAAAATTGTATGGTACGTGAATTAAATCTCAATAACGCCGTAATGCAAAAGAAATAGAGAAGGAAAAGACACAAAGGTTAATAAATAAGACAGAAAGCAGGAGGGAAGTAAGAGAACTTGTCCAAAGTAAAAGGATTGGTATAGAGCTGAGCCACAAGGGATCCGTCCTCCACTTCTGACCTCTTGCCACTGTGTCGTCTGTTCTAATCTCTCCAGATACCTGAGATTCAGTTCTTGCTTCCTTTTTTCTTTCCTCCCTTCTTTTCTTCCATTTCCCTTTTCTTCCTTATTCTTTCCTTTCCTTTTCCCTTCTTTTATCCTTTCCATTTTTCTCCTTTCCTTCCTTCATCTCCTATCCTTTCCTCTCTTTCTTCTTTCTACTTTCTCTTTCAATAAAAGTACATTAATGATGGTGTAGAATCTCTACAGGGAACCAATCACAGTGTGGGGCTGGGTTGTTCAGAACCTTTAATGAGTGAATGTGCATGCGTCTAACTCTTCAGGAGGCAAGGACAGGGTTGGATCCCCACCCTCCCCCCTCCCCTGGCATTTAGCAGTGGGGTCCTTATTGTGAAAAGTGAAAACTTGCTGGGGATTCCCTCCTGGCACCGTGTCCCAGGGAACAGTGACCTAAAGAGATGCACAGCTAGTGCTTATTCCAGTCCACCCAACTGACTTTATTGGCTTTTTTCCTCAGGGTACAAGTTCTGCTCTCATTATCCCTTTACATTTTCTCCCATTGAAATTTTTCAGCTCTCCTTAAGGCGGCAGCAAGTGAGTGAGAGATTGAATGAATGGGCTGTCTTCAGTGAAAAGAACAAGGAGCTTTGCGAATGGCTGACCCAGATGGAAAGCAAAGTTTCTCAAAATGGAGACATTCTCATTGAAGAAATGATAGAGAAACTCAAGAAGGTACAGGATGCATGGCTACATATGTTTTCACTCTTCGTGACGCTTAGGCATACTTTTAGTAGGTATAAAAAGACGGTCTTACTCATTATGAAATTACTTTCCTGCAAAAGGAGCACTATATTTTAAACGTTTGATCTTTTTAATATGAAATAAACTTGCATGGAAAGGCCTCTTTTACATACAAAATATATGGATGTGATGAAGTTAATTATCTGCTGGTAGACAAATGTTCAGTATTTTTTGGCTTTAGCTACCTGTTCAGAAGGAATCATTTATGTATATTGCTTTTGTGGTTTTGTTTTTGTTTTTAAAGAGGTAAAATCACTTGAGAGAAACCAAAAGAAAAAATTCTTAGGATTAGTTAAACTGGCATTTTCTCTATAAAACATAATTCATAGACAGTTACAAGAATGAAGACTTCCTGAGAATTTTGCTTCATATTATTTTCAAGTTGTGTATAACTTGCATTATTTTATACATTCATGTGACATGGATGTTTTTCATGTCAGTGTAGGCTGATCGAATTTACTAGCATTGAAAAATGTTTTTGATGAGATCGGTGGTGCTTTTAAATTATTTTTGGACAATGAACCATTTTTACTTTTGTTTAGTTTATGTTCCTTGTTAGAACATATCACTGCCAGGTTTACGGTGTACTTTCCCTACGTACTTGTTTCTTGTCCCTGTACAAATGGAAGCCCCACTGGATTATAAGCTTTGCTGGAAGTGTCTTTGTCTATTTTGTTCATTGCTGCATCTACTGACCCTGAGCAATGCCTGCCTTCTCATAAGTCCTCAGTCACTATTGAATAAGTGAATTATAGCCTCGTTTGTCCTAAAATAAATGTAAATAGTAGGAAAAGATATCTTTATGCATGCATACACATAAAGAGAAAAAAAAAACTCTAATGTGTCAGCATGCGATATTAATAACCTTATAGGCCTCCACTTAAGATATAAAATTCTGGGGGCTCCTGGGTGGCTCAGTCGGTCAAGTGTCCGACTTCAGCTCAGGTCATGATCTCACGGTTCATGGGTTTGAGCCTCGTGTCAGGCTCTGTGCTGACAGCTCAGAGTCTGGAGCCTGCTTCGGATTCTGTGTCTCCCTCTCTGCCCCTCCCTCGCTCTCTCTGTCTCTCTCTTTCTCTCTCTCTCAAAAATAAATAAACATTAAAAATTAATATATATATATATATATAATTCTAGCAATAAACATTTGTATATTTGATATTGTAAACCTTTAAAATGTAGACTAAGATAATACAGATTTCATTTTACTATCTGCCCATACCTTTGCCCTTTGATAGTTTCTGGATACCAGACAATACTCTACTAGACATGATTAATGTCCTATAGGTATTATGGTGAAGTTTGCTATAGAAGAAATTTTGGTTAAGTGTGTATCTCTACTCTCATTGATTTTCTTCATGAAATTTAAGGTGGCGTATTTTGGGGGTGTGGAAAAAAACTATCTCTTGAACAAAATACAACCACAATTTAAAATTTAGAAACGTTAGTTTTTCACATAATTTTGTTATACTATCTGGCACAATGTCAGAAATAATCTTTAAAATATTAACTATACTATTCTTATATAAAATGAGTTAAGGGATATAAAAAGAAGTCTTTATGAGCTTTCCTCTTGTGGTGTCAGTGCATCTAGTGTTTTGGTCATAGAATCCCACTGTATTGAAGTAACATAAAATGGAGGACAGGTGCGTTGGGGTTGCTGGGCGTAAAGAGAGCACTCAACACTGAGATCGAATAAAATTGCACTGGCTTCTCCCATTTCTTTGGAGTCTTCTTGCTTCAGTAACTGACTTGAGGGGATAACGTTATTGCCACACTAACTTTAGATCAAGAGAAAGTTAAAATATCCGTGGCCCTATAATACCCATCTTTGTGTATTATTTTGCTGAGATAGTATTTGCTGCATGACAGGAGTTTAGCCCAAAACTGAAAAAGGTGATTCTAAAGATTGGCTCATGTCACTGTGGCACGAGTGAGAGGATCATTGGTCAGGCAGCAAGAGTTGGAGAGGACAGGGGCGCCTGGGTGGCGTAGTCGGTTAAGCGTCCGACTTCAGCCAGGTCATGATCTCGCGGTCCGTGAGTTTGAGCCCCGCGTCAGGCTCTGGGCTGATGGCTCAGAGCCTGGAGCCTGTTTCCGATTCTGTGTCTCCCTCTCTCTCTGCCCCTCCCCCGTTCATGCTCTGTCTCTCTCTGTCCCAAAAATAAATAAACGTTGAAAAAA